AAATCAACATATCAGCACAGGAATGTTATTCTACCCTTTCTCGGCATATCACATGCAAATTGTTAGAATCATAATATTTAATTTTGCTATAACACGAAGTGTTCCCAATTCTGGGCAAATGCTTCGATTGACGATGAAAACTACAAAATTCCGGTCACTTCAAGCAAATCAATACAACGGGTGAGCGTATGAATATGACAGCTGCCATAACTCAATAACAGCCGAAGCATCATAGATGTAGTTCAAGAAATAACAAAAAAATTTGGTGAAGACTTTGATTAGACAAAATGTGCAAGTAAATACAAATAGTACAAATAGTGGAATAAAGATATCAACTAAATGCACACCCGAATGAATCAAGAAGAATAGATCACAACGGTGTGTACGTGGATGGATTATCATACACAAAACTTTCATAAAGGATCTTACATTGTATGTGTTATTTCTTGACTTGTAGAGTTGCAAATGTTGGGTACTGAATTTAGATGCTTTTCAGTTTTTGTGCTATTAAATTTAATATACTAACTAGGAAGTTTCCTGGTCAAGCCGGCATGTGCTGTATTTGTAGAAAATGAGTCAGGACAGAAGACGGAGGACTAAAGTGAGAGTTGGAACCTCACGTTATTTAAACCAGAGTAAAATATGCTATTATGCGTAACATTCAGCAAGTGGACAAGAAATGCTAGATAATTTATGGATTTTATAAGTTGATAGGGAAGTACGTTACAAATTCACATATCCGAATTGCGAAATTGTCAGTTACTGATATCATGGCTACAACTTTTCGGAGAACACTTTTCAGTTCTCGGAAAGGGAATTGAGCGCTTTCTGAAGTCATGTTAATGCAAATCCTCCACTCTACTATCAAACACAATTCGTTTTTGCCTTGCCGGATACACGAGCGAATCTACGACCATATGTGTGCTACAGAACGCGTAGTTAGATTTGAAATGTATACTTTAGGTGTGCATATAATGTATACCAGGACATAAGCTGTTACAAGAGTTTCATTTAAACCTGTGTATATGCTCTAGAATACATAAGCATCCGCTCAGATTTTCAAGGTCTTTACATACTGTCTACTCGCCCTTAAAGAAAGTCCTGTAAATTTATCCCTCAGTGTTCATCGATATTCGTTTACCGTCGCAAAATACATCCTTTCCCAGGTATGTATGCAGTTAGCGCTAATTAAATGTTATCCAGATAAGCAATAGGCTTCTCCACCAGATTCCATGAAACTTCGTGACTAGAACAGGGATGTAGTCCAGGAGATTAACGTTGATGAACCGCGCAGTTGAATTTGTAAGTGTTATGTCCAAACTAAGAATAAACGAGCGACAACCTACAGAAATTATTTGTGCACTGTTATTATGTATATTCTTGTCGTATAATTATTAAATAACCAGGTCATACATATGTATATGTAACAGCTTACATTCATTGGTTAAGAGTTGACTTCAAACAACCAAGTATCTGCTAAAACAATGGAGATAAAGAATTCATTCGCTTCATTATTTCGTATAGGCATTATATTTCCTATTATCTTATAATGGATGTTGAAAAACTTTGCGTATTTGAGCAGGTGATCCCCACTCCACGGTAACTGTTTCGCGATCTAAATAAAAATTTATCCAATGCTAGCCTGTTTTCTTCTATCAATAGAACGAGGGTCGCCTATAGGCACGAAATATATTCTTCTTATCATAAGTTTTCACTTGACTCATTAGCTAACGTTATACGATTTTCAACTTTCCATTTATCTCCAATCTACTATTTATAGTCTCTTATACTCACAGTCACTTTTGGCTTAATCGTATGTAATGATTACTTCTCATGTTATAGTGTGATGCGGTATGGTCTACTTGTATTTAAGCCGCAAATATCTGAAATATGTGATTTTTATAATGAAGGCTGATATTTTTGTTTTCGACTGATGTGACTGGGCCAAGAAAGAAGCTTCTATATCGAGTATCAATAGAGGATCAGAGTTGACACAAAGCTGCCAGAATTGGTTAACGTGTTGTTGGCGGGACAAAGATTGGATTAAAGCATGTTCGATGCTCGATTGCGTTGGTGCAGGCTGATTGACTAAGAATTAGTCAACTTCGGAATTAACAGCTGTGATATCCACCACTTCCTGTGTAGACGGCACACATTCTATCTTGTAACATCCCCAGTTTAGCGCAGTCCTCGGAATAAAAAAATCAGGGTCGGAACTCAAATAAGATGTGGTTGTTTTCTATAAAAACTGAACGAAGTATCAATGGCCGTTGTAATCAGTGAAAGTCAATCTAAGGGCGGTCGAGAGTAACTAATTTTAAGTCAACCTTAGAGAACCCTATGTAACAATTAGGTCAACTATGATTATCGTTGACCTTAGTAATGGTTAAAATTTTCCCTAACTAACGGGGATTTGGATTCAGACTAGTCAAGTATTGTTGGATTCAAATAATGCGACGAAAACCAAAGTAATACCATTCCAGATTAGTCTAATTGTATCACGAACGTTCAGGGCTCGACGAAGTATTTTCTGTGACCTTCTTGTGATCAAAGGATCCAAAACCTAATCGAAGTAAAAATCAGGGATAGAATAATATAAAGACTTATTTGAAAAGTGGCCTGTGTGTAGAGAAGCAGGTGATCTAAGTTGATTAGCTGCTGTAAGGGAGGTGCAGAACGGCGTACTAAACAGCCTTCTGGTGCAGATGCGTAAACGCGCGCCTTCAGCGAGGATATGTCTGGCTAAGTAAATGAGGTCAGAGTCGACGCCGAAGACTTTCCGAACCATTTTCCGCTACAAACAGAACAAATTCAATAAGTCCCATCCCATTAATCTGAGATCTCAACTACAAAGTCCCTCTTTTTTCAGTAAGATCAGTTCTATCCCAGCCGGTATCCATTATGAAAGCACTTGAAACCGTTTTCGATAAATGACTGATGCGAGTTGATCTGGTAGACATATTTCTGCAAAAACAACTTTGAAAATCTACATGATTATATGAGTGATTTTAAGTCATGAATCAATTCCATCACAATGCAAATTAGGCGTTAGGTAATTAACCAATAAAAACTTATCCTATTTTATGGATATAGGATACATGAGATCTAAAATTCTGAACCTCACTAAGTGAATATTAGACACTGAATGGAATTTATTCAAGGTTTGGGCTACAAGTGGTAACATTGGTCACCGGTTTGTGTGTGGTTGTTAAGATTTCTGTTGTATCGCGAGTTATAACATAGTCCAATCACCCTTCAGATAAAGAAATTCAGCATTCTACTACAAAGACATGAAACCCAATAGCTTTGTCACAGGCTTGTAAAGACCAATTAGACTATAGTCCATTTATAATTAGTCTATACAATATTTAATTGATATTTCAGTACGGTTCCAGGTATTTGGTACCCATCATTCACAAATAAGAGTGACGAATATCTTAAGACTCGAGAATTCTTACTATCATCTTAGGGCTAGTAAACGACCTATATAGATCGTATGTGGTATGTTAACATACCATTTTTTACAGGCTTTCACTCAGGGCCTCTTCATTGATTTTATTCTTGTTCGATGATCACAGAGAATTTCCAAACTAAGGTTCCCATATGCCTCTTATTCTTAAGTTTTAAAGTTACCGCACTAGCCCTTTGTAAAGATCCTTAATAAACGGTCAGCAAATATGACCTCGAAAATGAACTCCGTTCTTGAGGTACTTCTTAATCTCCTAACTTATCACTAGGGAGATTCAAGCTAATTAGTGGGCTCTACCGGCCGGTACGAAATGTGTTATTCCAGTGTTAGTAAACTAAGTAGTTCTACGTGTCTAGGAAACTTGTCTCAGTAAACTAAAAACTAGTATCAGTTTGTTTCGAGAGATATTACATGGACATAAGAGAATGTTAGTGCATGAAATGCCTAGGAATTATAGATAATAACAGTTTTATATATTTATCTAATTTTCTTGTAGATGAGAGTACTTATTTCTGCAAATCCGAGAACAACTTGGGTCCCCACTTGATAATCCTATGATAGATGTAAACAAAATAAGTTCGACCCACATTAAAGTTTAAATTGCGGACTATATTAGTTTTTAGTTCACTTTAGGAGGAAAAGTGTTCATCATAAATTTCTGTAACATTTAAGAGAAGGCTAGTTAATAGGCATTTCGAAGTAGTTGACCAAAAAGGACTGCCCTCTCTATTCTCTTATCTTCCTTTCTAATTTTCCATTCAAATAAAGTTTCGGTGTACAAAGTCATTCATGTACTAGGTCCTATGTTGTATATGCAGATTTCATGACGATATTGTCGAATCGGTCAAGTGACCCTGTAATTTTTTTATCTATGCTACATAAAACCCACGAAATCATTTAAGTCTTCCATAATTTATTTTCCCTTACCTATGTTGTTATCGTTCGTTCTTAAGTCATTATCCTTTAGATCATTTTTGGTATTGCCAAGTCTAATAAATGTTCTTCACATGTGATGAAACACGAACATACAAATTTATCCTGTTTGCCAGGTCATTTTGTAGCTTTCTCATGACTTAGTGCCAACAAGTTATAAAAAGCCTCATGCACACATCTTGAAAAGATCACTAGATCCATCTTTAGGCGTTTGATATACGGAAATACTTCCAGTGATCATCCAGTCAAGGAATGTAGTCTGACATGTGTGCATCGGTTCATGCTGCTGCACTATTAGCACATCAAAGTTGTGCTGTGGTAGTAACATTATTAGTGCGAATACGAGAGATTATACAACAATGTCTTTGTAGTGATGCTTTTATATTATTCAAGTGTCTTAATTAAAGCATGTAGAAATGGTTTTCTAATAAATAAAGCCCTTTTTGCATACGGTGGTATAAGGTCAATTAATCTTTTTTCACCATATATTGGATTATTTTAGCATCTATCGTAATTTATAGGAACCACACGGTTCCACTTCAGACCAAAGTTCTAAATAACCGTATATTATTCGAAATACAAAAGAGCTATCATATAAATGGGTAAGCATTCTTTCAAACACAATCCTTATGATTTCAGGTGGTATATTTAGTCTGTTTTCCCGACTGTTTGGAAGTAAAGAACGGAGAATCCTCATCTTAGGCTTAGATGGAGCCGGGAAAACGACAATTCTCTATAGGTTACAGGTTGGTGAAGTGGTAACAACCATTCCTAGTAAGTCCTTAATTTTCGATAGATTCTTTATAAACGGTACTTTTTAGTGGTACTTAAATAGCCATAATCGTAATATTTAAACTCAGCCAAAAAATCTTAGTGTAAATTTCGATAAAGTTCTATTTTCAAAAAAAGAAAATCTGTCCATCCCAAACTAATATGAGGTGTAAGAATAATTTATATAAACATATTTTATGAAAATACTCTTGGTAGCTTATAAAAAACTATTCATAAAAGAGAAAAGGTATGCTGTTTGGCGTGCAACACTCTTATTCCCTACTAGTTTAACTCAGTAAGGAAGTGCTCTCTATATATAGTTCATTGCTTTATAAAGTAAGAATATAATCGGTTAGTTATTAAAACGTTATTATTTAATATTACGATATTAATCAACAAAAGTCTTAATTCAAACACGAAAATATAATTCCTATACAAGCGAGCGAAGTTAATGATTACTAGTTTAATAGATGAATATTTAGTATCGCATAACGAGATATTTTCTCATACTTCCGGTCGTATAAAGGGATAATGCATATTTATTACTGTCCTGGGGTTTTAAAATATAATTAGTTTAAAAAAATCATTTAAAGTTTTTGAAACTACCTTCATTTTTGCCTTGTATTTAATCAAAAAAAACGATTTGTAACAGTTAAGAACAGGTTTAAAGTTTATTTGGTCGAAAAATGTATTGGAAATGAATATTTTAATAACTCAATTATTTCCCTGATATCCAAAGTGTGTAAGTTGATACGAACCGAGTTACAAACGAGCATGTAAAATATTTACCGTTATCTATCAGTATAAACTAATTATTATTCCGAGCTTTCTCATATGAATAGTAAAAGTCCAGATCGGTCTAAATAGCACTGCTTACTTCTCACGATAACCACTAAGTTCTGACTCAAATGTATCACAAAGGTCAAACTTCCTAGATATATTTCCAGAGATAATGTGGATTAAATATTAAAATGTCCGAAGTATGAATGAAGTAACCATCCAATATCCCATCTTTTATTTGTTCTTAGCTCTGTTTTTAAAAGCTATTGGCTCATATATATTTGATGCCCTCTTGTACCAATATTTATATGTTCAAACAAAGAAATAAATAAACCCTAACATTTTGGACTAACTATTTTAGACTTTTTGAGTGAAGTATTAATTATGCCAACTGCATATACTGCTTCGATTTGGGCACCCGAGCAGTATCCCAGCCCTCACACAAATCGAATGATTTATGTGGTGTATATCTATTTGGTGCCTCCTTGTACCAATATCTATGTGTTAAAATAAATAAACTGTCTATTTAAAAAAATTCATAAAGCTTTTCCTGAATAATTAAGATTTGAATGAATATGAAACAAGAATTTATTGCGAAATTACACTATTGATACTGAAAATTCTTTACTATGACAAAATTCATAGTATTAACTAATACTATTACTATTATTATCAATCAAATCACTGAATTCCATATCAATATGACCTCTTTTTTAAAGCAAAGAGACTCATCGAAATTCTTTAGAATTATTGATATACATATTCTTTTTTTTCCAAAATCTCAGCTATTGGATTCAATGTAGAAACAGTTGTTCACAAAAATCTTAAATTTCAAGTATGGGATTTAGGCGGTCAAACTAGTATTCGACCATATTGGCGTTGTTATTATGCGAATACTGATGCTATTATTTATGTAGTGGATAGTATGGATAAAGATCGAGTTGGAATTTCTAAACAAGAATTATTTTCTATGCTTGAGGTAAGTTTGTTAATTTTAACTTAATTCATGTATTAACTAATAATGATTTATAGTTGTAGGTATGAAGTTGTGGTTGTTCTGTTTTATTGAGATCACGAACCGACCTATGAGAGCCATTGAAAACCCGAAAACACGAGCAGTGGAGTTCAACCGTGTTGGGTGTAAGGAAGTCACCTACCGAATACAATGAAAAATGGCCGCCTAGTATCTTTTACACCATTAAATCTTCACTCAATGGTTTAGAGGTCAAGTGTTCGTACTCGTGACGGCGAGTTGTAGATTGGGTTCTTGGTTGCGGAGTCGTAGATGCAATCTGTTGATGATTCCCATACTAGGACTGAGCTGCTATCCAGTGCTTTCACGTTTCACTGGTTATTTAACTTAAATCAGTTCGTGATCTCAATAAAATTTACATTCGTGTTTTTTATTAACCCTTACGAGTGGTGTTCAGTATTTCTGTATTTTTTATACAGTGGTTTCAACGTTCTCACTTATTCTTTAGATGAAGTTGCTTATTCTTGTACCACGTAGAATGAATTTATTTCAACAAGTAGCTGACTATTTTGTGACAGAATTTACTGTATGACTTCATTGGCTCATTTGATTTTTCCACGATATACTAAATTCTTAGCGTACTCAGACATTGTTGATACAGCCTACATCAAAATATTTCTTAAAAACGTGTGTCTAATAGACGGTTTATACTCTATCATAGATGTGTCACAACATATTAACGTGGAGAACTGGAGCGCAAGTTATGTTAGGTCTTGTTTCCCAAATTGACTTTCATATGGTATTAAACAGCTAAAGCAATAAGGGTTGTAGAATAAAATAAATTCATCAACCTATTTCACGGTTTCTCATCAGCTGCATACAACTTAAAAGTATATTTATCAACAAATTTTTAGCATACTTTAGTTTGTGAAGTTTAGATAGATGCTCATGATAATCAAAAATCGTGATAATCAGAAGAATAGGGAAACAAAGTGTATGAATAAACATAGTTAATATCGATGTGTTTTTATATGTGAAGAAGTAATAATTAAGAGATTATGTAAGAGCAGCGAAATTAATATGTGATTGAGTAATCTCCCAATATGGTAAAACAGACTGTTATGTGAAAATCATTAATATTATGTAAGATAAATATCAGAAGACGAAAAAATAATAAAAACGTTGAGGACATTGTTGAAAATGAATAGAAGTTATTAGATAAACATCCAACCACACCATGGCAGGAAATGTCTAATCGAACTTTCTTTCTGTATACATAGGTCAATTCGGAAACGTTTGATAGTGATCGTCTCTGTAAAATGAAGTAAGATTGGTGTTTTTTGTCTGCTGACTATTTAGATCTTAGTGTAAGACGAAAAAGTGATGAAAGTCTTGAGAAAAGTATAAATACGAAAAAAAACATGGACAGAACAGTATTTGAACTTTAGCACTCACTTCCTAGTAGAAGTAGGCGTAGACATTCTCCAGAATGATAGTGAAAGCTCCACAATTGAGTATACAGTTTTCGTGTTAATAATTTCACTTTATAGATTTTTTTATAAAAAATATTGTACTAAAATCTGTAAGAACTGACTTGCTATAGCTGTTAAAGAAATTGTTCAATACAGTCACTGACGTACTAAATAGAAACTTACTTTTTTTGCAGAGTCTTTTGATGGCACTGAGCAACAATACCAGGATGTTTGGGATGCGTTCCTTCTCTTCTAAATGCAAATTGTTGCTTCAGGACTGGCCTGTGTCAACACCTAAGCTAATGATAGGGAGTGAAGTGGTCGAACGCGTTGACAACTTCACTTATCTTAGAAGTCTGATAAGTCCTAGCCATAGAACAAGAACTCAAATCTTGTCCAATTGCGTCAGCTTAACATTCGGTCAATATCTGATTAACTGATTGTATTATCACTCCCTCCTGAAGGAAAATAGGTCTGGTCTCTTGAGTCCAGCTGTATGGATTTAGATGGGAACATATAATTCCTTTAATCAATATTGATTACCTAACGAATTATTCAAGGAAAGCATACTCTTAAATTTATATCAAAATATAATTAGTGAGCCGAGAAGCCATCTACAAGTATTTCTTTGAGTGACGTTATTCTGGTTCAATGTTATATTTATTGGTCCTTATTCATTGATTGATACAATTGTTGTTCTTAAATACAGTTCTATCACTGGACGATAAATACTTACAACATGTATTGCTTCGATAAGCTTTGTGTACAATGGGTTCGATGTATTAATATCTCATGAACAGCAAGAGTTGCAAAGTTTATTGTTCTTACTGATCCTTTGCTAATGCGTAGAATATTTTCATGTGGCACAGACACCTTTTCTTGTTACTGTACTTAGTTTATTGAATTGATTGAATTTCTTCATTTCCATCACGGACTAACCTTAATTAGAAAGCTATTCAAAACCGTTAAACAGGGGATAGCGATTTCATCTTACTATAAGACTCTTCTTCAACAATACACATTCACGATCCTATAAGAAATCGAGCTTAGGACCGTCTGATCTCACTATGAATGTTGAATCTTCAAACTACTGAACTGTCATTTAATGTCTTACATGCAATATTACCCAACAACTATCCATTGCTACTGTTAACTAACTACTTCACACACACACACACACACACCGTAATTGAATTGTTGTTGTTTAGTCTGGTTGTATAGTATTTTGTACGAAAATGTTTTACATTTCGATCGCCTTGATACTTAAATAGTAACCTGATATACACAGGTTTTTATGTGTTTCTATTTAAATAGAAAAAAAACTTGGTTAATATTTCAGAATTATTTCAACTTGTTTTGATTGTAATTAGGTGTATTGATTTTTTTAAAAATTTCTAGCTGTGATATAACTTACATTGCGTAAATTAAGAGTAAATTTTACTGAATGAAATCTGTTGATCAGATTGTATAGATGAGGGTTTCAATTCGCACGGTTATAAAAAGTCTACACATTGTGGTATGATGTGGGCTCCAGTATGCTGAAGGAACAAATGGTGTACGAACAAATCGTTGGCCACTGTCTACCATGGGACTGCATCTCCTAACTTTGCTCCACTGCCTCGTGCATTAGACCTTTAGGTCAACGATTCTGGGTTTGGCCCTCTAAGAAAACCACCTGCTTCGGTTTGGGCACCTGAGCATTATCCTAGCCCTCACAAAAATCGAATGATTTTTGTGGCGCATGTCTATTTGGTGCGTTCTTGTACCAATGTTTATGTGGTTAAATAAATATAATAATATTAATAATGAACAATTGAACTATCTAGCTCTAAGAACTCCAAATCAACATTGATATAGCCATTCGTCGTACAGGGTGGACGGAATACTTATCAATAATTTTGAGTCACTACGTATACAGGTGTACTATGTTGATTGAATTAGAACTAGGAAGAAGCCATTTATGCTTGATCAAGTCACAAGACTTGACGCAACAACCGATAAACCCACTGATCGATAATATACTCCAATACATATTTCCTGGGCAATAACCATATATTTATCTGCATCACAATAGTTGGAGTCTTAAAGACACATTTGACCTGCCGTACTCCATTTTCAATTATCCTTGGAATTTTTAAATTTTAATTTATTTTGTACTTCCCACTTCTTTTTGTCGGTTGTTTTATTTACCATTTGTGGTTTTTTCCCTCATTCACTACTGTTATTTTTCTTTATTTTACTACTACAGTGTTGTGACAACGTGAAGCGTTGCTTAGTTATACTGAGTCCTATATTCATTGATTCACTGGTTTTAGGCATATATCTATATATAGCAGATCTTTTAAAACAAAATTGAAATCAATTCCTATTAAAATAAACTGTAGTGACGTTAGTATTTTTCAATAGCTTTAGTTAGACTAGTCACGTTATTAGAATACTGGTCATTCAAACTATCAAAGTGTTATGGATTTTTAATTTTATTACCAAAACTGATTTAGTTTAAAAGTAAAAGACTGGATAAATTTGATTTTAGCTTACTCAAAATCGTTTGAAAGCCTTTAAATTGCTCGTTTTTTTTCTACTTATATATTATTGAAACGTATATTTGATACATATTACCGCTGATATTGTTGCCACTTCTACTATTTTGGGATTTGGTTTAACAACTTCACCTCTTTGTGCAAATGGAGTATGTTAACTTAAACCGATGTACTTATGTATCAGATTCTACTCTAGGTACATGGAATGTTCGTACAATGTGGGACACCGGGAGAGCCTTCCAAATCGCTGCAGAAATGAGGAGTTACAACGTAGAGGTGCTTGGGATCAGTGAAACGCACTGGACGCAAGTTGGACAACAACGACTAACTTCAGGAGAGCTTCTGTTACACTCCGGCCATGAAGAAGAAAATGCTCCACATACACAAGGAGTTGCATTGATGCTGTCTAAACAGGCACAAAACGCACTTATAGGATGGGAATCTCATGGACAAGGATCATCAAAGCCTCCTTCAAAACAAAGAAAGAAGGCATTTCAATGAACATCGCCTATGTGCCTTCAATAAACTGGTCATAGGCGGCACCATATTCCCACATAAGCGCATTCACAAAGCCACATGGACTTCACCGGATCGCACTACGCAGAACCAAATCGACCAATTTTGTTGCATAACTAATACTAAATTGTTCCAACTCAATTCAAAACTAGAAAAGTGATATGACTCAAAACATTACACTTCATTAGAATAGAACTTCTGCTGTCCTCTTGGTTACTGTATCACTTATTCTAATCTCACTTCGATTTGGTCATTTAAGTATTGTCCGTGCTGATATAGCGTAGATGGAGTGTGGCTAGCAGTTTATTTATTTAAATACATAGACATTGGTACAAAGGGCACCAAATAGATATGCGCCACATAAATCATTCGCTTTGTGTAAGGGCTAGGATACTGACCGGATCCCCGAACCGAAGCAGGTGGTCGTCTTAGGGGGCCACATTTGGAGCCTTCAACCTAATAGTCTGACCCACAAGGCAGCGGAGCAACGTAAAGAGATGCAGTCCCATGGTAGCCGGTGACCAATAGTTGAATCATACGCCATTTGTCCCTTCAGGATATTGGAGCCCATGTGTACCATTGGTTTGGGATGAGGGTTTTCCAACTCCCCAGGTGGGCTCTATGTCCACCAACCTGGTTAAAGCACTGGACATCCGCTTTACGTCCCCTCAATTTCGTAAACAACACCACAGCTGCGAGAAGACAGTGAGTAGGACTTCTCTGGTAGTGGTTGTGTGCATGTGGCCGTGTGAGAGCATTTCGAGAGGGATAGTCGACTCTCTCCACTCTCGGCCGTACCACGGCATTTGGTGGCTAGCAGTAGATTCCAGGATGTGCGTTTCGTTCTATTTAGGACTGGTCAGCAGGACGTATCAGTATCCCAAGGTTGATATTCACTCCTGGATTCGAATCCGCTACCGTTCATCCAATTGTAAAAGCCAGTAACTATCGGTTAGTTGTCTGAAAAACATAGTTATTATGTGAATAATATGGATGGAATATAAGAATATTCGTCAACATTTGAATAATTCAATTTGAAATGGTTTGGATTACCCCGTTGTTGATATATGTTAAATGGAACTTGATCACTTGATTGGCATATGGGAATCCAGTAGGGATTGCCTCACGTCGCAGGCATTATAAGCAGGGATGGATAGTTGCTAGCAGTGGGATCTAGGACGCTCGTCTCGTCCTAATTAGGACTGGTCAGCATGACGTACCAATGTACCAGAGTTGATCACTCCGGGACTTAGACCCAGTACAATTTACCTCAAACCCCATAGCGTCATCCGCTTGGCTACTGAGTTCAGATAGTTACTGACTTGTACAACTGGATGGACGGTAGTGGGTTTGAATCCAGGAGTGAATATCAACTTTGGGATACTGGTATGTCATGGTGACCAATCCTAATTAGGACGAGACGTGCGTCCTGGATCCCACTGCTAGCCACTACCCATCCCTGCTTATAATGCCTGCGACGTGAGGCAATCCCTACTGGATTCCCATATGCCAAGCAAGTGATCAAGTTTCATTTAGCATATATCAACAACGAAGTAATCCAAACCATTTCAAATTGAATTATTCAAATGTTGACGAATATTCTTATTCAGACAGTTAACCTATTTCACAGTCAATTGTTATAATTCTAATCCTATAAATATTGTGTCGTTACATTAGACAAAATATCATGGTATATATATTGTTGAATTAATGATCAGCGTGTTACCTTGACGTTGTGATAACAGTCCTGTTTGGTGAAGACGCTGATAAAATGCAGAATCTTTTAGTAGCAATGAGCAACAATGACAGGATGCTTGAGATGTGTTCCTCTCCCTCTAAATGCAAGTTGTTGCTTCAGGACTGACTTGCGTCAACACCCGGACTAAGGATAGGGAGTAAAGTAGTCGAACGCCCCCAAATGCCCTGGTACGGCCGAGAGTGGGGAGAGTCCGCTCTCCCTCCCGAAATGCTCTCACATGGCCCCGCGTATATAGTCTCTGCCAGGGAAGTCCTACTCATTGCCTTCTCGTGGCGGGGGTGTCGTTTACGAAAATGAGAGGACGAAAAGCGAATGTCCGGCGCTTTAACCGGATCCCAAACCAATGGTGCGCATGGGCTCCAGTATCCTGCGGGAACAAATGGCGTATGAACCAACTATTGGTCACCGGCTTCCATGGTACTGCATCTCCTTAAGATGCTCCACTGCCTTGTGGATTAGACCTTCAGGTCGAAGGCTCGGGGAGTGGCCCCCTAAGAAAACCACCTGCTTCGGTTTGGGCACTCGAGCAGTATCACAACCCTCACATATATCGAATGAGATTTGTGTGGTGCATATGTATTTGGTGCCTCCTTGTACCAATATCTATGTGTTAAAATAAATAAATATTCGAACGCGTCAACAACTTCACTTATCTTGGAAGTCTGATCAGCCTTAATGGGTTGGTATCTGACGAAATCTCTTTGCGGATTCAGAAAGCTCGTTTGGCTTTTGCCAACTTACGTCACCTATGGCGAAGGCAAGATATCCGCCTCTCAATTACGGGACGAGTATAATGCGCAGCAGTTTGTTCTGTTCTTCTTTACGGCTGCGAAATGTGGAGATTAAGGGTAAAAAATACTTGTAAGCTACTATTATTTGACCACAGATAACTGAAAAATATTGCTCACATCTTCTGGGATCACCAAGTAATGGTGAAGTTAGACACAGGGTATTAGGGAATGACGGTAAATAAGTTTATGAGGTTTTAAATTTTCATCGATTGAGATGGTTGGGCCACGTGTTACGTATGCCTGAACACCGATTGGGAATGGTCAGAAGACCATTGTAACCAATGGCTGGAGACTCTGGTTACATAGCTGAGAATCGATCACAATGGTGTCGGTGTATACACTCTCTGTCTTCCCTTAAACTATGAGATTAAAATTGATTTATATCTTTCTTTCTACGAACTAATTCTTTCTTACTGTATCATATTCTTATATGCAGTCTTTTATATACTACCACCATTGAATTAACTACTTCTATGAATTCAGTGTTCATCTTGTTGTCCTAATGAGGTATGACAACTTGGACCGATGCATATATGTGCCTGGTCCTACGTTTTAGCTGACTGACTGTGTTAGCATATGAAAATAGTGGATTTCACGTCGATTAATTTATCAGCACTAAGAAAATAGTCGTACAAGTAGATATAAAAACACTGTCTTTTGGCTGGAAAGTTGAGATTTAATAAATTAAACAACTTATTATACTTCATTATCTGATAATATAAACAAGTTTACGTAAACTTACTATCTTTCATACGTTCAGTAATTATATCGCTTTGGTTGATGTTGTATGAATAACAAAACCCAGATGGAATCCATAGACCATTGATTTGGTACTGATTAAAAATCATCAGCGTAATCTATCTGCAGTCCTGATGAGAATTATAATACATACATTGGAGGTGTTTTATTACTATCATTACTAAATGATCAGAATAAAAACCAAATTCATGGTATTGTCTCTACTATCTATTGGATTCTTTTACTAATTACCCGACCTCCTAATCCCAACCAGCACAAAACTTATATCCTCCAGTCGTTTAACATTAAAGAATTTCACTAAGTTATCTGATGGACATTTTTAAAGAGTGATTAATAGAATTGCATCAGCATATAAGGAGGGAGGACTAGACGATAGGACTTTTATTCGCCGATTAATTTGTTAATCCTACTTTTCTCTCATATTGTTTCACTCGGTTTGACAAAAATGAGTACAAGAGTGAGTGGGTTGGGAAAAACAAACAGTTTTCGGATTGAGAAGCCAGAATGAAGTCCATAAATGTAAAAGTACAATTTTATGTTGAAATTATAGAAATTTCTGAGATGAGTTAGTTATATTTGTACTAGCATCGATAATGAATTATAACCAGTCTAATTGAATTTCTCTCATATTGTGTCCATAAAATCTTTGGAAGTTTTGAGAAATTTACCACTTGGACGCTTGCTACTAACTTCCTAGCTGCTTACGTATAAACCCTGGGTACATCTCAACTCGAAAAAATGGGAAGAGGCACGAAGTGTATGAGCTTTGTCTCAAGGTTAGTTATGTGCAAAGAATCAAGTGTATTTATAGCGTCTTGTGTCTTTAACCTTCCAGAAACTTCTGGAAATCCCAAATATAGCAACGATGTAAGTAATTATTCAACCAAAATGTGACAATCGTGCGGATTTTTTCCGTGAAACCCCTATTCAATATTAGATGAACATTTTCCAGTTTCCTGAGCCTCTGACGAAAGATATTTACAGATTCCCAAAAAAATCTATTCAAATAAATATACTTCCATGCTTACAAGCTTTTTGTAACGTTACTTAATTTGTCTCGGCATACAGGAGGAAGAGCTTCGTGGTGCTGTACTGGTAATATTGGCAAATAAACAAGATATATCTGGTTGTATGACTATCAGTGAAGTAGCACAATCACTTGGCTTAGCTGCAATTAAAAATCGACGTTATCAATTATTTAAAACATCTGCATTAAAAGGTGAAGGATTGGAAGAAGCCATGGATTGGTAAGTTTATTCAATCTATTATAAAATGAATGATTAACTTTACTTTAAGTCTGTATTCCTTATAGTTAAATGGAGTGGTTAAGGTGTTTGACTTTCAACCACTAAGTCATACATTTAAACCCCACGCCTCATGTACTTATCTTTCAAGAATTAGTTGGTATCACCAGCCTTCGTACTTACAGCGTGACTCGAAGCGAACTAAATGTATTTGTACATGGTAAATGAGTAAACGGGAGATGTATACAATAAGATGCTAGTTGGCTGACGGTGATGAACTGGATGGCTCACCTACTTAAATTAGGTTTCGCGCTAGCTGTCACTTGTCAAGGGCGAGTTATATTTATAATCTTATCGAAACTAATGCTCCTCGTTAAATTCAAACTTGGGCCATTCATTTTTCAAGTTAGAGATGTTACCAATGAACTCTTTGAGTTTCGTTACCCTTCTGCATGTGATAATGAGTGAAACTACGTCCATGTTTCAGGGTTTGAGTACACTTGATGGTACTATGGAAATAATTAAGTCAACCAACTAAGTCCGTCAATTTGATACCGTTGACTGGTTTAGTTTTTTCCTAAACTTTCCTACTTTAAAACTTAATTCTATTTCATTGTGCACTGGATTACTAACTTTGTGTAACTGCTCATGTTTATTAGTCGGAAGTTATGATAACTATTACATTTGTTAACATAATACAATATGTCTTTTATTGGTTCACATTCACATTTGTTTAGATGATATGTACTTTACCGTAAATCGGCTGATAATCAAACTTATTCGTTTGTATTAAGGTTTCAGATTCCATAAGATCCTTTTGTACATAATAATATTATTTATTGAGTTGATAGTTTGTAAACAAAAAAGTTCACATTGATTTCAAGGCGTTAATGTTTACCAAACTATGGAGACTTCACACAGTTGCAGTAGCGGTTTGACGATTTAAACAATCGGCTCTCAACTAACAGGTCGGATTTTCGAACTTCAATCTGCCTGCTTCAGCTTGAATGATCAAGTATCACCACTATGCCCCTAATACAAACAATGCGAATCAGTTGTATCGTGCTTGATGACCGCGATACATTGTTACTTCTGAGAGTTTTGAACAGTCTGTAGGGTACTTAACCCTTATATAATTAGATAGGTGACGAAAGTAAATATCTTCATGAGTTGATATCACATCACCATTTGTTTATTCTTAGCATTTTAGTCAATCAGCCAAAACGTAGCACCTGGTACGTATGTACATCGGTTCAAGTTGCCATATCCCATTTGCAGATATGTCAAACCAAATCCCAAAAAATTAGAGGTGGTAGCAATATCAATCGTAATAAGAATTGGGCATCGTAGATAAGATCCGGGGAGAATATAAATTAGTGAAACAAAAACGAAAGAAAATCATGAGAAATATAGAATCTCAGAATTAGGGAGAAGATAAAGAATGGATGCATGTGCCCCATTTCAAACTATTTTAAGCTATACCATTCCCAATTAAATTACACATTAATCACACTTGTAAGCTGAAATATGGAAAACTGGTGACTCAAAATATTTGACGTGTCCTGATCAACTTTTGTCGATACTAAGTAAACAACGAAATAGACTCACTCGTCATATTCTAATAGAAAATATCCTGTGATATCCTAGTTCATGGAATTAGAAGTTATTTACCTCACAATATTATTGCTAATTACATACTATCTATTTGAATAAACGTCATATTTTATTTATGCAGGTTATCGAACACTCTGTGTACACAGAAATGATTTTCGCTACCAAAGTTCCTTCTTATTACACAAAAGAAATAGCTTGTGGATTGGGGAGTTCCTCGTTTTGATTTTACTTTTTACCGGCCATTTCTTTGTAAATGCCCTCCTTGTCATTTGCTGAGTTTGACAAAATGTCTCGTCTTCTAACTTTTATACTTACAATCATTTGAACTAATCAATGTCTTCCTTTGTTTCCACTAAAATGTACAATTTGACTTGCCTGTGATACACCTATTTTCAACCATAATACATTATCATTGGTAGATATGACCCATTATAAACTACATAGAAGTTACTTATCTACTACTCGTGGAACATTTGCCACGCTGAAGATATACTGATGGTCTTCCTGATCGTAGGTATCTTGATTTCTTAGTACTAACCTAGAGGTTGGGTTGATTTTTTTCAGATTACAACTTGCATCTAGTATGAAATAGAGTCCCAAGTCTGTAAGTTCTTGATTTAGCCATGTCAAAATGATCAGTGAACATTTTCGCCACTTTTACGTTACTAGGAGCTTCACTGCTAGGTCTCAATAGGGTATCAGTGATACCTCGTGATCGTCCTCCGTTAGCCTCAATAATTCTTGTAGCCATGAGGCGTGCTAATGATACCCTAGAACGGTCGTGTCGTTTGACCGGCTGATGCGAAGTTGAAAAATATTATTGTAAATTATATACATCTAATTTGCAACTACATTAAAGATAATTGTTACGTAATCATCACTCACAATGGGTTGATTGAAAGAAGCATCTTTTCATGAAACATGGAAGTGGAATTTGTTCTCAACCATTCTATTCTTAAAGCCGAACATACGATAACAGAGGAGACCCATATTAAACATCGAACACTTTGAGGCCAAAGATGGTCGACGTGAAAGGATTACATCATGACAGAATAGCTCAAAGATGAATTAAAAACGACAAACGAATTACGCCTACAGCAAGATTAAATTGCAACAAATATTTAGGAAAGAAATGATGAGCATGAGAGGCAAAGCACAGAGACATTATAAAGTCAGCGAGACAAAAGCACCCTAAGAACGTATACACAGGCTTATATGACACCTTCACCTCTTTGTCCCAGCGGTCTTACTGTTATCGCAAACATATGGCATCACGAGTAATAAGTCGAGTTTTTTCCCAATGCCTCAGTCCCGGTTTTGTACGATTCATGATTAGCACTAAAATTCTACAGAGATATACGCGTGTAATTTGTTTATTTCAACCGACCCACAGAAAAACTAACTGTTTAGAATGGAATGAATAGACTTATATTACACACAACTAGATCAAATCGCCCGACACCACTTTAAGTTTAAATCCACATCTACACTTTATCTGCCACTAATTTCCAGATTTTGAGTTCACAATAATGATTATACTGCGTTTTTGATTCAGTCACAGAACCTTAGGAAATCAAAGTTTATCCAGTTCTTGGAGTGATAGTCTACTATTTGGTTTTAAGAGCATAGATCTGAAGAAGAAAAGCCAATTCTTAATCACTAACTCCTAAGGTAATAGCTAGCAATGCTTCACAGTTAAGAAAAATAAAAAGATTGAGAAGATACTACGGATCCCATACATTACTTGAGAACATCGTTGTCACTTATAAGCATTGGACCACTAGAAACTGTATAGAGAACAATCTCTTTACGAAAACCCTATAAGTAATCTAGTCTGTATTTAAATAATTTGTCATTGATGCATCTAGATATGTGTTAGTTGCCCAATAGAGCGGACGGAATGACTTGCTAAATCGACTAAGAACGTTACGCCAGGTTAGTAACTAATTACTATATAGATATACTAGACTCAAACAAGACAAACTGGTGTCGGCCGATGTTCCTGATTACTATCAGTGCGATTCAACCGTGTGAAGCGCAGTTGAATTCACCACTCCATCAAAACCTGAGACATTGACGAGACAGTTGTTCTAACCAACCAAATACTTATAGATCCACGTCCCCGTACTTTAGGATGGCAAAATGCAAAGAAACCAGGAAGAGCCTAAGGGTACGAATAATAACAATGCAGACGTAGAATGTGGAAGGACATCCCACTGAATAAAACCACCGGATGAGTCGCTGAGAAGACTTCCATAGTCAAGATGTGATGGTGAGTAGAAGACAATCGCATCCGTCTCATTTAAATAAATTTCAAATCTTCCCACCGTCTTCAATAATATAGACTGTTTATCTCCCAGATCGGCGAATCCACAGCTTCCAGTGAGGTTGTCATCGGCAGTTCTTGATTCCATAGGTTAGTACGACGTTTTGATTTGGAGGCCTATAATCTTCCAACCTCCTCCTACGTTATTAAGAACCACCTATATTAGCCTGTGAACAGAGAAGCACAGACGGACCGCTTGGACGGATGTTAGTTCATAAACTCATCAACTTGCCATCATTACCGGATATCTTACGTTCCTTACCAGTCACTAACGGATGCAATAAGACCACACTTGTGTAGGCCCAGATTGCTATATCACTACGCCACAGTAAGGGATAAAACTTTCCATAATAAGGGAGTCGTAGCAGTGATACAATAAGTTCTTAGCAAACGAAACGAGTAAGCAGGACGTCTGACGCAACGTAAGGTACCAAGTTGTAATGGGAGATGAGTCTGCAACATATCTACGAAACTAGATCCGATTGTGACCCATCACCAAATGTATGCAGCTACTGGTTATGGCTATCGCATGGACCCACCTACTTAATAGTTCTGCTATAGGCCTCCAGATCTTGGTCGACACCAACGACCGAGTACTTTCAAGTCATTACGACTGGAAGTTAATCAGTTCTTATTTGGTGAGTTCTCAGCATCCGATAAAGCACTGTGTCGACTGGGTGTCAGTTTCACTTGCTTTTTTGGCTTCAAACCACGTTCTCAAGTATTACATTTTATATTGGGGATTCACTGACATTATAAGGGCTTTTATTTGAAGGCACTTATCATAAACATTTTACTGCGGTCTTTAGGATTCTCGAGTATAATTAACTCTTCAGACACCTCCCAAAAATACATTAAAATTTGTTATTAATCCGTACCCTTCACGATTTCAATGTAAAAGTTTGATGGCTCAACATTTGTAAACTGTGCTTCGATGATGAGCTGCGGCGAAAGTAACTATGTGTTGTTAAAAAAACATCCTCTTAATATCACATCAATGGTCAGAAATCATGGAAAAATGAGGCAGTCGGTCCGAGTCTATGGCGAAAAGTCATCGTGCCATTACGATGTCGTGACATTTATTTGTTTCTCTGACTCGATCGATTTGAACATATACTAAATGCTTAAAATTATTTCCCCTTTTGAGTCGATTTTTAACTGAAATAAGTGTCCCATGCATATGTCATATATGTCAAACAATCATAAGAATGAAACATTATTGATTAATGGGAAAAGGAATAAACCAGCACTTTCATGAACGAAATGATATCTATGTCTTTCATCACAAGATATCCAACCACGATCGCGGTAAGCAAGAATATTGCGTACCAAAAGAAACCACGTTTGTGGTTTTCAGTAACTTCGTATACAGTTTCTTGAGGTTCAGAAAATCTGACGCGATTTCTCGAGCGGACACTTGTCTCTCCAGCTGCATCAGACGAATCGCTAATATCTGAAGAATCCGGATTTTGAACTCTTATATGGTGTTAAAGTTTCTGTTAGACACTTACGGCTCTTCAATCACCAGAGAAGCTGGAAAACGTACATCGTCATGAATATTAAGAAATAGGACATACGATCAATTAAAAATGCCAGCTTTTTGCGCAATATTTTCCTAGTGACGTCATCTTTGTAAACTTAGGACGTAGCAATAGTGCAACAAACCTTGAATAGGTGGTGGGTAATATCCCTTGCCTGACAACTCGGCTCTTAACTCATCATCAGTGAGAGATAGTATTCGTTCCATATCTTAAAGCTGATAGATGCATTACACATGGAACAGACAACCTTGAGGCACCAGATGACCTAGCGAATTAAAACAATGTAGAAGACAAATGATAGGGACATGAAATGAAGTATTTCACTACATCAAAATAATATATATATATATGAGGAATGGGGTCAATAAAGCCGAGTATCACTTGACAAAGCTGCAAACAGAATAATGATTTCTATGGAGTTGTCTTGAATTCACTGGATTCGTCAGTGTGTTGAAAGAAGGCTGTATTTTGTTTTCATACAGCTGTTTGCCAAGTTTTTTAATGCTTCTTTAGCTTTAGATTCGTTTTGGCAAACACCAGATGATGATTTGAGGATATGTCAGCTCCATGTACCTGTTAAAGTTGCTGATCCTGTTGTTGGATAGGGGAATAGGCCTTTTGAGTTCCGAAGAAGCTCGGCTTTCGACACGAGGCGCCATAGTTTTTTCCGCGATCACCTACGATCAATAATCTCATGAAGATGTGATAACATTCAGCCCATATTTCTTCAGCGATACTCGAAATTCGTCAATTGATTTGTATTCGATCGGTTAATGCAGTCGATTCAGTTCAGACGACTTGTAATGTTGGATAGACAAGCAACCCTCACTTAAACTTTCAAAAGAAAAAAGACAAAATCATTTGTTCTTTAGACTGGATGCATTTTTCCGTGTTCGTTCATTATCAAATGAGGGAATATTTAGAGTCACACATTATCCTTCACGAAGACAAACACTGTTTAAGGAGAGCAAGGTCCTGCGAATTCAATCTCTTCACCTCATGATACAGGTAAAAGCTGCTTTAATTAAAAATACCGGCACAGAAAGTGGGTGTGCCTAAGTGTAATAATAAAGGGGGTAACATAAGTGATAATCAACCAGATTATAATAAAAGAACGATATACAGTAATGAATACAGCAAGTTACGAGACAGCTTAATCCATGGGTGAGTATCTGTTTGTCGAATCTCCTCTTAAACCTATCCACTAATAGGTCTGAGGTCGCTTCGGTTGAGAGGGCATTCGAAATGGTGGCAACTTAGTGATAAAACGTGAGAACGTACCTGGGTGTTCTCTAGACTACATTGATTTCAGAATTGAGTCTTATATTTAAGGCTTTTTGTCTTGATGTTAACAGGCTTGGTAGTAGTAATCCTGCCCAACTACATAGGAGAAGCCTTATAGCCCTTCAGGAAGAAAGAAAAGCCATGTAAAGAAAGCGTGACTGAAACATCGAAAAAGCTAAGAAGACGGATACGTTTCAGTTCATCCTGCAGTTTTAACGTGATATGAGGGATTTCGATAACTATAGTGCAAACTGATATGTTATAGTCTACACTTTCCTATCACCTTCGGAAACTAACGAACATCCTAAAAGCGCTTAGAAATATGATGAATACGCCAGTACGGGATGTGGTATGACCGCAAGTGTGCACTACGTGTTTGTGTATAATGCATATATCAGAGATACTTACATTCTACAGTGCACATACGCACAAATTCGTGCGGTCACAGGTTTATGTCACATGCGTATGTGAAGTACACAGGCCACGATATATAAATTCCATAGAATACAAATGTGTATGAATGGGAACATTCCAGGTCGCAGCCAACATATATCCAGAGATCAAGCTTGTAGCTATTTCTCTATTATCACCTTTCAAGAGTAAGGCACCATATTAGTTAAAACAATTGCCTCCAAACTGCTAAGCATCGCCCTCGTACCCTGTTCTGTCTTCTTTGGTTTAGACAACATGACAGTAACGTTAGCCTCCAAGATTTGTTTGATTCAAAAACAAGTTTTAAAAAATATAAAGCTAGGTTCTACTGAAGCTCGGTTCTACTGAAGCTCGGTTCTTCAATCTCGTAAAGGATCTGGGATTACTCGAAAATATGAAGTCGACAACTCGTTGGAGACACAGTCAGACGCCGTCGCGATTAGACCGAGTTATGACAAATGTAGCATTCCTAGTTGACAACCTCTCAATTCTGGCGGATCTGTGGTGGGGCGATCACTTCGCCATAGCCTTCAGTCTTATCAGTAAAACTGAGCTAAGACGTCCCACCAAAAACAGGCGCTGGAATCGCAAACTGTTGAATGCGTTAGCTTTACAGTACAACCTACAACGTGTGGGATGGGAAATTAACCATCAACCTGATGTGGATGCTCATAGGGATTTCTTCTTGCATACGCTCTTACGTGCCAAAAGGCAGTATGTACCTCAAATGGTCCCCAAAGTCTACAAGCAACGTACAGTCACCAAGAACCGCATTCATCATTTACTAAGCGCAAAAGGCACTGTTGGGTAGAGTACTAACGAACTGATAAAAACAACGGAGCGTACAGGCAATACAAACATAAACGGAACATATGAACTAAGGCTATAAGAGAAGACAGGCTTTAGTACCAGATAAAGCTTATGGATAAATTTGTCTCGAATCCGAAAAGCATATTCCGTAATGCAGCCTTTCTTCGTCGAGCCAAAACTGGGGTTTCTCAACTGCCAGGTCCTAGAGGAACGACCAATAACGACGGTGACACCACTAACCTTCTGGTTGAACAGTACTCTCGGACATTCCAACCGACCCACACAAACTGTATTGATGAAAGCTTCATCTACAACTACACAGGACAGCCCGAAGTCAACCTGAGCGCTGACTTGGTGTATCGGATACTGTAGCACTTAAAAAGACATTTCTCTTGGTCAATATATATCTCATTCTGCTATACTGAGTGAAGTAGCTTCAATCCTGGCAACACCGCTTAGCGTGGTGTTCTCGCACTCGCTAAGCCGAGGCACATTACCGGATATTTGGAAGTTGGCTCACATCCCACCAATTTTCAAAGGAAATCGATGCAGAGAACATTCAAAAATTAAGAAGTCCCTGATAGGCGACAGTATACACGACAATTTATTGTCCTTAAATTTCTTCTCACCCCAAAAGCATGATTCAGTAACGGTTACTTTTGCATAACCAAACTGCTGACTGCGGCGGACGGATGGACAAGCATTCTTGATAGCAAGGGGAAGGTGGAATTTATTTACCCTGACTTCTCAAAAGCTTTTGTTAGAGTCAGCCATATATGTCTTATCAATAAGCTCAAACAATTGGGTACCAGACCACGTCTAATTGATTGTCCCACTTCATATCTGAAAAATCGAAATTTCAAGGTCAGGGTTAGCTTCACTTTATCTCAAACTATGAAATATCCTGTGGGGGTCACCCAAGCGCTCAGTACTAGGACCTCCTCTTTTCTTGATTTATATAAATGATCTTCCACGACAGGTATCATCAGACTTATTACCTTTTGCTGGTGATGTGAAACTTTGCAGATATACGCAAGCGAGAGGATATACAGACACTTCAGGAGGATCTGGCTCGACTTCAAAGTTGGGCGGATGACAACAGACATACATTTAGCATTTCAAAGTATAAAGTAGTCCATCTGCGACATGTTGTTAACTACAGTTACAACTTACGAAACTCCTACCTAGTAGTATTCCGAGTTAAAAAAGATTTAAGAGTCCTGCTACTCCACGATTTGAAGTCTTACTCTAACTGTGACAAAAATGCTTTTCGAGCAAACCTCACAATGGTAACATTGAAGCGCATTTTTGGCCAGTTTGACGGAAGAACGTTCCACATAATATTCAACAGTTCATTCGTCCCCATTTAGAGTACGGAAACATAGTATTTCCTTCCTCACTCCAAAAGGATAAGGACACTCTGGAGCACATCCAACGGCGAGCCACGAAATCAGTTCGAGGACTCAAATTCAAGCCTTATGAAGAGCGCCTCCAATCACCTAGCTTTTACCCATTGGAGTACAGGCGTCTTATAAGTGGTATTCTGATGGCTTACAATATCCTCAACACTTCTGGACGTTCCCTTAAATATCCTCTTAAGTTTATCTCCAACTCTTACCCAAGGGGTAACACCCAGAAACTGGAGAAGCAACACAGCAGGATGGACTGTAGACAAAGCTTCCACTCCTTAAGAGTTGTCAAATGCTGGGATTCTCTGCCGGCTGAGCTAGTCCAAGTGACTTCTCAGGAGTGCTTTAAGGGGAAACTTGACCTATTCTTAAGGACCAAGGACAGCATCACACTATGATTTACCAATTTCTTTTCCTCTTTTACTGTTAAAATACCTAGGTTCCTGCCTGGAGAATTTGGTGATCCCCTGCTACTAGAAACGGAAGCCTGTTAAGCGAAAGCTTCTTCTATTCCGTCCACAACCATTTGAACCACTTGAGTGGCTAATGCCTATCAACTCGGAAAAGTGTGTCTACATGCACTTGGGGGATTCAAAGGTTAATACGTACAACATAGGGGATGTGTCATTACCCGTAGTCCGGTCTCATAAGGACCTAGGGGTGACAGTGAGCAATGATCTTAAGACGACGGCCCATTGCCGGGAGGTCGCAGTTAAGGGGTTTCGAACCCTCTGGGCTTTAAAAAGGACATTCACTAAGCTTGACACTACCATGTTCACCACATTATACACGTCCTTAGTGAGAACTAAGTTAGAGAACTGTGTTCAGGCTGCAAGCCCCTGTTTCAAAGGTGACTCGGACATAATAGAAAAGGTACAGAGGGCAGCTACGCGTGCAATTCCGGAACTCCGAGGTTTATCATATAAAGAGCGGCTTGAAAAACTGAACCTCTTTACTCTGTCCTATTGCAGACTAAGGGGAGATCTAATATTGATGTATAGAATACTGAGAAATGATTTCGGACCTAACTTATTCTCTCTCTTTCTTCCCACTAGATCGGGACACCTCAGAGGACATAGCAGGCGAGTAGAAAAGCCAAGAACGAACAAAATACCCGTGGCATACAGGTTTTCACACCGAGTCATCAATACTTGGAACCTGCTGCCTGAAGCAGTGGTGTCCGCACCTTCAATTGACTCTTTCAAGAGAAGACTGGACACTCACAGAAGCATACTAGAAAAGGAATAACATAGGCCGTAGGCCTTCTCTCCTTACTACACAAATCTGAATCTGAATCTGAATCTGATACAAGAGCTAATAATGTTTGGTTCCCATTCAAACCAAACGCTACTTGATAGACTTAGAATATTAACTGGGTGTGTAGGTGTTTGTTTCATGCCAACATTAATGTACTTAGTTCCAAGACAGTCTCGTATGTAATAGCTAAAATAGCCAGTTTGGTGTCTATTTTCTATTTTGATCAGTGTTTCGTCTTATCCTGTTCCTCAGTGTTATTAGAATTTTACTGATATGTCTGAATCTAAACGTTTGCATTAATTTACAAGGAGAGGTTTTATTTTTTTCACTTGATTGGCTACCCGATCCTTTTTTTGCTATAGGCCAGTTTTTCAAAAGTCCTATCATGTAACGCCAACCGGCTTTAAGTTATGTCGCCTAACTACTGGGGACGATTATCACGTAGACCCCGACTAAGAAGTTTTATCTCCGTATGGCTCAAACCAACAATAAATCACATCTTATGTTATTCGCCTCTGGCTTACCTTTAACGTACTATATCAGCCAGAACAGGACATTTGGGAGGACGGTAACTAAGGGTTCGGAACACCAATTTGAACCCCCTTAATCAATATAGATTTATGAAACCGTCATTCAACTTGCCATTTCTTATAGAACCTTACGTTTAACATCAACATCATATAATTAGGAATTTACTCAGTAGTGTCTTGGAAATATGATGAGATACCTGCGAGTCCTTTTTCTTTCTAGTGGTGGACAGTTGCACAAAACCATTCCATAGGATACAATACCCTCTTTAAGTCGAGGTCATTTGCATGTTAGTGAGCACTCACGTGTTCTAAAATTCGACTGTAAATATTCGACCGGTACTGCTATGATCAGAGGTGATACCTGTCTGCTTTATTTCAGGTTATTTATTCCTGAGCTCCGGTGGTTTGGGCGGACATTAAAGCTAAGATCCTAAAAACCAATTCAGTGGAACGAACTTCTTTAGCGTTATTTATTTTCCTACAGAATGGGACAGTCGAAACTAGTTGGGTAAAATCTCATCCAGCTCGCGGAGTTTTATTAAAAACCATGTTTAACTGACCGTAACTTTTAGAAATCTCTACGGTTAACTTGTCGGTGTCCTTAGTTCTAGGCTGTCTCAACTTGGTTAAAGCTGTTGGGTGCTGCTCATGAAACATGTACAGACCATCGGAGCCAGTGTTTCGAAATAATGGCACCAATTTAGGAACCAGAATTTACGGAAATATGTTCCCAAAATTGGTTTTTTAACCCAACAACACTTCTTTGAGAAGTAATAGTGTTAAGCGAATTAATTACCTAAGAACTGAGCAGTATTCAAACTCTATGATTCTTGTCCTAATTTGTTATATATTAAGCCACTCTTTTGGATGTTCATGTAGGCTGCTTCAAGATTTATATAAGAATCAAATTTTTATCCTGTGTTGATTGATGTGGAACTTGAAACGGTCACGACAAGTCATGTAGTATCGTTGTTTTTGTTTTCAGAAACTGAATAGCTATAATTATTCAACACGAACCTGTTCATACAACTGTTATTCATATGACCTATGCTAACTAGTCATCAACCGTTAAGTGACCTGGTACGATTACAAGCAGATAAATCTTGAAAATAAATACCACATTCCTAACATTCCTTTATCATCACGAATTATTAAACAGTAACTTCATCTAGGAAAGTTGTAACCCTACAAAAGGTTACTGCATAGCTCTTGTTCTAATTCTCATATTATTGTTATCGTGTCATTGTTCGACTAGTAGTGTTATTATTGTATTATTATTTCTTTCTTGCAGTTATGGTAAATCTTTAGTGAAAGGGAAACAATATCACGACTGATGATTTGATTCTCACAACCACCTTTTTTATAGTTTGTATTTATGCAATATTACAATAAACACCATCACTACGTCTGCTGTTTTCAACTTGTGCTCACAACAGCAGTTATCATTTAAACTTTATAATTTATAATTCAACTCATCATTTTTGTGAATTCCACCAATTTGTAAAATGGACTGTCCAATTGAAGATGTCGATAAGAAAGATGTAAGTTTTTCAACTCCATATCATTAATAAAAATAATAGCCAGTTGTAGAACAAAATACTGACGTAAATTTCGTTTATAATGATACTGATGAATACAGTGTAGAAATTGCTGGTATATTATTTTCTTAAAATTGTCTATTACTAAATTCTTTCCTTGTAGAATTATATAGTTATTCTGAAGAGCCTGAATTTCATTTAAATCGTGAATGTTTTGAAAAAGATTTTCATAAATTTGGTAGGTGTTACTCTCCTTTTTGTTTTATTTGCTTGTATAAAATATTCCCTCAGTGTGTAATTGTATCAGGAAACAAATAATTTAATTTTCTTTCAACTGTCCTTCACAATTGTCAGCTACTTTAAGTTCACGTTCACTAATTTTCACTATCTTTTAAATACTCTTCTCCAGTTTTCAGTCACTTCATGATGTGATGTCTTCTTCGGTGTTATTTTACTATAGCTAACTTCTTATGTTAACATGATATATTTTAACCATACTGTTCGATACAAACATAAACTCAAATGGTTTACATTACCCGGATCTGTACATTCAACTTTAGAACTATTTATTATGAGCCACAGTATGCACAACTACTGTTACATCATGTGTCTCCAGCGTTAATATTCCATATCCAGTTTGGCTAGTTGAGACCTGACATCCGAACTCTGTATCTTAGGGTAAATTTTGTTTACCTTTGTACTAACCATATATAGCTTACTTGTCTGGTTATCGGTACCAGATTTCCTAAAGTGGTGATTTATTTCCATTTATTATGACACTTGTAAAGTTAAGCGCATCAGTTATTTTCATTAATTATAAATGTTCTGCTTAAATTCAGTTTCTGTCAAATGGTTTGAGGCTAGCAATGCTGAACGTCATTCACATATTCAACGATTATTAGATCATTTAGAGTCTAGTGATTGTGAAATACGTCAAAGAGCTACACGATCACTGTTGTACTTGTTACAAGGAAATTTTGGTGATTGTGAATTAGAGGAAGATCAAATAACATGGGCTAGACATAATGTTTATTTGTGCATTGAATCAGGTTTATTACAAGCTATTATAGAACTTTTATTGTTCGAAACTCACTATGAGTAAGTTGAATAAATAATTGCTATTGTCTTATCATTGTAAATTCGATTTTAAGGCTTTATTTCAATTTTGTGCAAACCTTCTCATTCTGTCTTCTTACAGTGCTATTATTATTATTATTATTATTATTATTATTATTATTAACATTATTACTGTAGATAGAAACAAATTTATAAAGTCTGCTCGTTATAATTTTGATTTTATAAATTGTGTTTATTACTGAAGTGATAGTACAGTAGTTGAATCGTTTAACTTGAGATATTAAATCATAGGTTAGAACACTTCTCCATCTATTTCCATCTTAGAAACCGGGTAGTTTCACGGATGCTTACGCGTAAAATATGCCCCAAATACAACATTCACTCTCATACACTAATTATCATTTATTTATTTCAACATATAAATATTGGTACAAAGGGGCACCGATTACATATGCGCCAAACAAGTCACTTGATTTGTGTGTGGGCTGTAATACTACCCGGGTGCCCAGACCAAAACAGGTGGTTTTCTTAGGGGTCCACACTCGGAGCCTTCGACCTAATGGTTTGACCCACAAGGCAGTGGAGCAACGTAAAGAGATGCAGTCGCATGGTAGCCGGTGACAAATAATTGGTTCATACGCCATTCGTTCCTTCAGGATACTGGAGCCCATGTGTACCATTGTTTGGAATGAGGATTTTCCAACTCCTCTAGGTGAACTCTCAATGTCCACCGACGTAGTAGAATTAAGATGAATATACTGTGTAATTTGTAAAATAAGACTTTTCTAACGACAGTTTACGTATTTATTAGACAGACTATATCTATGATTATGATTAAGCTGTAAATATTAAACCATTGATTAAAAATGGGTTGGTTTATATCAACAAAATCGAAAAAGTGAAGTATTTTTTGATGGAGTTTCAATCTCTGCACTAGATCGTTTAATTCTAGCTCTACTTATAAATTTGTTTTGATAATATTGTCCAGAAGGATGATCAAAGCTAAAAGGTTTAAAAGTCTGGTTAAAAAACTGTACTTCACCAAAATCATTCACATGAGTTACAAATCTTTTCACCATCTCAGTAAAAGTATATTTGTCACTTAAAGTCCAAAATGGCAGGAATAATTCAAATGTAACCATGGTGTTTGTATTAAATTTTCACAAGTAATATTTAGTTAGTGAGTATTTCGAATTTTTATTCAACTCTTCTGTTCTTTTACAGTTCATGGGGTGTAAATTCAGTTGGAAATGATCCAGCAACTAACACTACTTGTAATGGATCAACTAAACCCAGTCAATCTACAGCAGCAACAACTATAATTGATACAAATCAAAATTCAACAGTTACATCAACTCGACAATCAAATGTTACAATGAAAGATAGTGCAAATCTTCGTGTTTTATTGTCTATTCTATATATCATGGTTGAAACTGTTCGTGATGGAATGTTAACAGATCACGCACAACAAACTATTTCAGCAGATGATAAACATATGTCAATAACAACAAATCAAGCCAGTAACGATCCAATGGCGAGACTGAGAGAACAGTTTGTGGAAGATTTAGGTATATATGTGTAAACGTATATATCTGTATATTAGGTTATTAATCATATGAAGAGTGATTAATTACTTCATTTTCCCCTCATAGTTGCTTATACTGCTGTTTTACTGTTAGTCGAGATCAATTTATGAACGAACAGCATTACGTATGAAATTAAGCCCCCAAATGCCCTGGTACGGCCGAGAGTGGGGAGAGTTAACTCTCCCTCTCGAAATGCTCTCACATGACCACGTGCATACAACCACTACCAGGAAGTCCTACTCACTGTCTTCTCGCAGCTGGAGTGTTGTTTATGAAATTCAGAGGACGAAATGTGGATGTCCGGCGCTTTAACCGGGTTGATAGACACGGAGAGTTCACCCAGGAAAGTTGGAAAACTCTCATTCCAAACAATGGTACACATGGGCTCCAGTATCCTGAAGGAACGAATGGCGTATGAACCAATTATTTGTCACCGGCTACCATGCGACTGCATCTCTTTACGTTGCTCCACTGCCTTGTGGGTCAGACCATTAGGTCGAAGGCTCCGAATGTGGACCCCTAAGAAAACCACCTGTTTTGGTCTGGGCACCCGGGTAGCATTACAGCCCACACACAAATCAAGTGACTTGTTTGGCGCATATGTGTTTGGTGCCTTCTTGTAACAATGTCTATATATTTAAATAAATAATAAATAAGAGTTGTAAACGTTGCGTGGTATCACTGAAAAATAGTTATATCGTGCAAAGGAATTCACTTTTCATTTTCCCCTCATATCCTAAGCGTCCACATTACGTATTGTACGAATTCATTCATTCTTTTCGAGTCCTTTTTTCTATACATAATCTCTTTCACTATTAACGCTACTGCCATTAATTTAGCTTCTTTGCTATTTATCTTGTTTGTCGTGTCTTACAGTGTTGACGTTGTGTTGTGACAAATAGAGCTGATGCATATTTACTCTTGGTGTTGCATTAATGATGTTCCAATTAAATGTCATGTAGATACGAAAGTTCTTCATCTATAAAGTGTAGCGCATATATATCTGGTGCCCCCTTGTACCAATATTTATTTATGTTCATCTATAAAAATGTCTCTTTCGAGAATGAAATCGTTCATTCACTAAATAAACTCCATTTTACTGTTATAAATTCTCGAGTAAGTTCTGGGTTCAAATGTCTGTGTTAATATAAACAGTACTGAAATAGAGTATTTACATCCAGTTGATGAGACTCGAATTTGACAAAATGTTCATTCTAGCTTCCACTGTCAGCCTCAATTCAATTTTATTAAAAACTTGTGACTACATGGCACTGTTGTGGCAGTAATCGGGTTATGGTCTACGCATACTAGCAACAGTAACTAATCAATTAGAAGTCTTTAATATCGACAATGGGGAAATGGAAAGTTTGACAAATAATTCCATTTTTCTTAAACATTTCTACGTATTTCTACGAATATTTGTCAAGATTAGAACGAATAGTTTGACAGAAATTAATTCAAATATATAATTTTCACATATAATTATTTCTACGTATTATTACGTTGTTTTATGAATCACGCCAATGTTTATCGCCCTCTTTTTCTTTCTGTCTCTTTCGCATTCAATTCATAATATATTTTGTAATAGCCATGCCTATTGAAAAAGACGGTGATCTCACATTGACTGCTGTACTATTTGGCATGATTCATCGTTTTTGTAGTGGTATTGATCCACATTTTCCAATGAAAAAAGTTCTCTTGTTACTTTGGAAAGTTTTACTAGTAAGTTAAAGCAATAATAATAATACTATTATCATTATTACTGACGGTAAACAAACACTGCGTAGTATATTTTGACAAATACACATCTTCAAACCATTTTATTATGACCTAAGACGTCATAAGTCCACGATTAGTCCACCCATATTTCCAACAGGGCAGTGACTATCTGAGTGCTAATTGACACACTGATCAATAAATAACACAGTGGACCTAAACGCTCATCAGTCCTCGAACTCCTTTTAACCTAATAGATAGCCAATCAGAAGACAAAAATAGGAAATACATTAGTTTTCTTTTGAACTCACTTCATTTGTAATTCAAAACACATATACTAACATACCTGAAATGCCTGACCACACAGCAAACCAAGTTAGAAATCGTACTTTAAACACAGTCAAGTCACAAGTGGCAGAGAAACAAACCACACAGTATATGATTAACTAACAGTATAACGACAGCTAATAGGTCCACTGATAGCTTACAATAGGAGAAATATAAGAATGCAGCAATACAGTTATCTACTACTAATACTATACAAATGCAAGTAGTGGTAATGGTCCGAAAAATAATTCCAAAAGTTCCAACCTTTCCAATATTCACCCCGTTAAAATACATTTAACTTACGAGTATTCAAAAACTGTACATAATTGTTTTTCATTATCTGCTAGCTAACATTTATCTTGATCTATAGACGTTCTGCATTCTGTTTTTTTTCTACATGTTTCATCATCATACATTATACACTGCGCATGAATAATACTAATTGTAATCACCTATCGTTTCACGTGAAGCCAGTCAGCAACAACGTAGAATTTCGTACGTACGTACGTACATCAGTTCGAGTTGCCATACCACATTAGCACATAGATACAATTTTCGATTCAAATCCCATAGTGGTAGAGGTAGTAAGAGTATAAGCAGTAATCGGAAACATTAGGGTTTGAAGATGTTACTCAAGGAGTAAATCCAGTGAAATAAATTTGGGAAGACAAAAAAGAGACAGGGAGGAATAAGGAGATTAGAATTTGGGAGAACACAAAGAGTGGATTCACCTGTGCCATTTCAAACGACTTTGAGCCATATCATTCAAGGTCTCTAACAATCGGTTGCCATCGTCTTGCGGATCCAATTGAGGTAGTCTACACCTACTAACACGGCTCAGTCCACTTGTCCAGTGACTTCATGGATTTGTGCCATGTTTTGGTCTGGCCGCCCCTAGTTTTCTCCCAACCTACTCCTACACGATAAAACATCGCTTGTCGGGGAAGTCGGTGGTTGGGCATACGTAACTTATATCCTAGCCATCTCAGCTGATGAAGTTTCACCACTTCAATTGATTTCCCATCCTTACGTAGTACCCGTTTCCTAACAACTTTGTTACTTACTCGATGGTCCCAGAATATACGAGCAATTATTCGTAGACACTTATGATCAAATACTAGTAACCTACGAATATCCTCTACTTCTACCGGCCATGTTTCACTGTCATAAAGTAGGACGGAACGAATTGCTGCGCAGTAAACTCATCCTTTGGTTGGTAGACACATATCTCACCTACGCCATAAATGACGCAAGTTGGCAAAAGCTAGTCGAGCCTTGTGTATCCGTGCTTAGATTTCGTCACACACCAGACCACAAGGGTTGATGAGACTCCCAAGATAAGTGAATCGGTCGACACGCTCAACTACTTCATTCCCTATCATTAGTTTGGGTGTCTAGGCAGCTCAATCCTGAAGCAACATTTTACATTCCGAGAGGTAGAATTGCATCCCGAACATGATTGCATAGTTAATGTCAGACAGTGAGCAAAATATACCAACCACCATAGCGCTGATGGCTCCAATTAAATTGTATGATAAGAACACTTAAATGCCGCCAACATACATAATTAGTCCGTGGAAATAGGTTTAGAAGTGAGGAAATTGTATTTTAATACTGACAAATTTGGGTAATAGTGGTAATAGAATTAGTCCGAAGTGAGAGAAATCTCAATAGGTCGCCGTCGTTCAGTAAGTTTTCCTTAATAAGGTCCTGGGTTCGAACCCCGTATGTGGGACCGTGGATGCATACTGCCGAGGAGTCCTATACTAGGACAAAACGGCCGTCCAGTACTTCCAGGTTTTCAACGGTAATCTAACCCTGATCGATTCGTGATCTCAATACATATATTAGTTAATGGATATAGCGGAAATCTGTGCACACTTACGTGGTCGGCTAAATTCTTATAATTATTTTTGAATTCACAATTTAGATATAAAAGTCTTGTGTGTTCTTTTTAAAAGTATAAGACAATTTAAATATTTATACTCAACTTTCTACATGTAGATAACACTGGGTCCTTTGAGCAGCTTATTGGTACGTAAAAATCAAGCACGTGCTCGTTATGGTTTACCACCAGTTTCGGAGGATTCTACACATGTAATTCAGAAAGTTCGTGCAAGTAGCCCACCTGTAATGTGTATTACAGATCAAGTACTTTCTAGAATGCAGCGTAATAACACTAATAATATTAATAATAACAATCGACATCCCATCATAAGTCAATGTGTGTATCTTTTCAACATTCAGTTTTCTATTTTGCATAGGTTTTTTAAATACAATATTAGCATGAAGGGATTTGTAGGGATTGTAGTATTTTCACAGTTGGAATCATGGGCTGATCTTAGCATGACCACCACTGTAAACCTGAGAGCACTCAATGGCCGTTTCGTCCTAGTATGGGACGCCTCAGCAGTGCTCATTCAATCATGTGCTTACTAGCGAATAACTTCGAGAGGTAGTTTAGTCAGAAGCCTTTGTCTGTGAACTTTGGTCCGCGTTGGGTTTGAGACAATTATCCACCACAGGCAATGGATGGACTGGATCGATTGAAGTTAGACACTAACATCGTTGAGTGCCGGCTCAGTGCTCCAAAGGTTAAGCGTCCGTGCACGAGGTCGACAGCCCTGAGTTCGAGTCCCACATGCGGAGCCGTAGATGTGCACTCTTGACGAGTCTCGTTTAATGAGGAAACCGGCATTCAGGGCTTCCAGGTTTTCGATCGTGGTTCTGTTAAGATCATTTCGTGATTTCAATATATGTTTTTATAATAATACGTTTAGTTACAGTGAATAATTTTCATTAAATAATTATGCAATAAGTTAAAAAATAATGAAGTAATAACATCTTTGTAATATTGTGAAGTGCCATCAAGAGTCCCTCGTTACAGTCTATAAAAACCAGGAAAAGACTGAAAGCCATTTTCACTCAATATATAATCGACTCCATGACGTATGAACTTAAGACAACCTGATGTTTTAAATAACATCATTACCGGAATACGATAAAGATCCTGTTATGAAAACTCTTAACTATACAGATGATATTATTCCTCCTAGTCCAGATTACTATAACTCTTTAAACTAATCATGATTTTAAAAAGAGCAAGAACAAAGGTTGGTGCAGAATAATATGAATTCATTCTATTTCGTTAGGTTCTCATCAGCTGCTTACAACCTAAAATATTTGAAATTCAACGTTATTAAAGATATTGACATACTTATACAACAGAGGGTGATGAAGGATGAATATATGTAACATGATGTAGCAAAGATTTCGTTAGAGTTCATGAGGTCATAAAATTTTTTGTTTCGAATATATAGAGTTTGGGAGGGAAGGTTCCAGAACATTGAAATGGTGATTAGAAATCATGGAATTAAAAACACATTAGATTATTATGCAATGAAATAACTGAAAATAGATTAATGATGTAATTATAAAATTCAGAAAGAGTTGGAATGACGTAATAAATAAAAGGGGGAGGGGTAATGTTACCATGGCAAAGAAAGATTTATTACTGTTTCTTTTTGTATACAAAAATTTGGTGTGGATGAAAATATTACTTGGTATTCGCATCTGAGGACGAAGTTGTCCTGAGGTATTACGTGAGGAAAGTATTTACATGAGACGACCAGCATCTCAATCAACGCTGCTTTTCCACAATGGAAGGAGGAGTAGGGAAAGTTGATACTAAAATTAGCACACCTTACCTTACCACACGAATTTCCACTGCAGTCAATAAAGCCTAAGATATATGACGTTAATATGTCCAAAAACTACTCATATAAAAGCTATGTGTAATTGGCCTGAAGTAATTATCCCTGGTGGTCACTCTTCCAGGTTAGAAAGATCACTTATAACTTCGTTTTTTCATATCCCTCAAGAATGAATATGTCGTTGTGTGAGCCCCCAGAAAGTTAAAACCGTCTCAGTACCTTTAACAACACTCAAACTGATTGAATTGGTTTAGGATAAATCAGAAATACCTTTCTTCATAAAATCTCCATTTCATAAAAAAACGTCACTTGAATGCATAACATGCTTAACATACACACTTAGAATGTGATGTATGCTACTTATGTCGACAGATACAAGTAGTATGTGATACCAATCCGTAGTGGAAACCCTGTCAGCAGAAGGCTAAGAAGATCAAGTTTGAAGAGAAAACAGAAACGGAGATGGGAAGGAATTGTGAACTGGAAGAATCATACAGAATGTGAAGGACAAATGATGGAGTTTTATGAATGAAGTATTCAATGTATGGTTCTCATATTTTACCAAGATATTCTGTAATTTTGTACAAAAATATAACCTTGTCGTCCAGATTTTGGCCAATCGGATATAGATTTGACCTAGTCTTTCACTTTTTCATAATAAAAAAACCCTCACAGATTTACTAGGTATATTACGTAATGTGGTTTAAGACAAGACAAAAGGCTCTCAATCAGCTACTTAAATACCACAAAGCCTGACGACTCTGGGTTCGACCCCGTGGAAATTCATGAGTGCACACTCTTGAAAAGTCATTCCAAAATATGTAGCTTCCTTTCCTTTCATCTCCGTGATTGGAAAAGATCTTCCTATTTAGTTGGCAATTTAGTATCTTTAAATTGTGTAATTTTAAATAGGTGCATGTCTTTGTTAATTTTCTTATCACTCTAGCAAATCAATCTCCTCGACAAGGTAGTTTAGCTGGAGGTCGTTTGGCGTTTGAACAACAGCAACAACAACAGTCTGTTGTCACTTCAGTGACTTTTCCATTCTCAGCTGATTCTTCTAAACTTCCTATCATTCAGAGTCAATCACAATCAACTGAGGCGTTTTCAACAACTTCAGGTTTTGATACACCTCGACCAAGTTCACCTGTGTCATCAGATGCTACTAATCGTGATGATGGTAAGATAATGATATTTTTCAAACGTTATGGTTTTTATATTATATTCATCACAAATTAATCTTAGTTGGTTTTAACATTGAAAACCAGGAACAGGGGCACTAAACATTTGTTTCGTCCTTTAAGGGGACTCCAATATAGTGTGTGCTCATTATCCCATCAGTGATTGAACCCAGGATCTTGAGTCTTTCCAAAAATCACTCAGTCACTAAGACCACTTGGTCGTAATTCAGTGGTACAATTCCAAATTCAGTCATTTTGGGATAGAGTGACTATCATCCTATGCCAATTTCTATAAAATTTTATACTCCCGATATATTTGAACTCCGCCACTAGTCGTAACTTCTCATTAAAATTCCTGGAGTTGCTTGTTGAAGTAATATACTAATGAGAGGTTGATTTAATTTGTAGATTATATTTGTTGCACATTGATTGCAGTTGAAATTTTCAATCAAATTTCAATTTTAGGAACAACTAATCGTGATACAAGTGAATTGTTAAGCTCATCTAATTTAAATCAACCAAACTTCAATCATCATCAAGTTATCCTACCAGGATTATCGAATTTATATATGGATGAGAAGAGTTTACCATGGAAACCGAAAGTAAAAAAGAAGGATTTAGAGGTAGTTTTTTGTTTTTCTTTCACCTGAGACTGAAGTTATTAATTTATCTATTTATTTAAATACACACATTGGTACAAGGGGGTACCAAATACATATGCACCACACAATAACAATGACGCCACTAGTAGCTATCATTGATTCGTGTGAGGGAGACTGAAATAGGTGTGGAGCAAGGTTAAACTCTGAAAATCTTGTAATTTTTAATTTTGTTACCCTTATAATATAAAGGTGTCTCACATCTAAATATACGTTTCTATCTTTGTATAGTTATTGATTACAAATAAATATTATCAGTGAACTATTTACCTTAGCCTGAGAAGTGTTAACATAACTAATTCACAGGGTAAAGAGATTTGTACTTATTCTAGTTAGTCCTAGTCACTGTAGAGCCTGGGATAAATATGTGTTGACTTATGTTGCCATACCAGACTTGCGCGACCAGATGAACAGGAAAGAATTCAAAATATTGTAACAGTAATGATAATCAAAATAGGATTTTAAAAATTAGTATGAAAAACTGTGCATAATGTTATACTAAAACTCGGGATCTAGATTAAGATAAAGAATGAATGTATCTGATCCATTATGACTGATGCTGTACTATGTTACCCGATGCCTCCAGCCATTAGTTACAATTATCGTATGGGTCCTCAATCAGGTAGTTGAAAGTTACCAACGCAGTCCAGATCACACGATCAATACCTCCAAGTTTTGACTTAGTTTCCCCTAGTGTTCTTCCAACTTAGTCCTACACCAGCTAACAGGACCGGTGGAAGTAGATGGTGGTTTGCCATTTGTAATACATTTCACAATTACCTTAACTGATGGGGATTTACGACCTTATCGACTGATCTGGTTTTCGTACACCATACCTAAACTCGTTATTGCTCATTTGATTGTTCCACGATACGCGAACAATTCTTTGAAAACAACTATGATTACTGTACTTATTTGTTCATACTAAACCGAATCGAGTAGGGTTTTGAACTTGCAGTTTTCTAAGGGAAGACCAAGTTCCTTAACCACCTAGTTACCGCCACTGTAAATCTGACATGTGAAATACAGAGAAAGCCATATCAGCTTAATGTAAAGAATCGAAAGTACTCCATGAGTTGTACACTGTTTTACGTAAATTTGAAATGAAATGAAATTGACATTTATAAGAATTCATCGCTGAATTAATGTGTTTGAGAGCTTTCATTTTTTTTCTTCAACAAACTTGCGTCTATTTAATTTAAACCAGTCTTTGAATTTTCACATTGTAAAGAAAATTTCATTTGTATACCTGTAGTCCTGTAATACGTACCAACAACCCTACTGGAGGTTGAACTCAGAATATTTGTATCTTCTGACAGTGACTTTGACTTTTAGACATCTAGGTCCAATACATAGCTGGGTTTTAGGTTCTGTTATGTTTTATAGCTCGTCAATTATCACGTGACAAGGTTGGCAATCAGAACACCAGCTTACTATGACCTTGGCACTATGTCAAACAATTAACGCGTTAATCAGCACGAGCAGCCTAGAGTCAACTCGGAGTCCTTATTAGTTCTTCTTGCCTTGTGCTGTCCGTTTGAGTCCGAGAACACAATCTGAGCTTTCGCTGTATGAATCATGTATTTCAGACATATTTGGTATATGTACAAGCAGATCAGATTGTATCACATCATAACATAGAAAATAAAAATTATACAAGATCAGCTAAAAGTAGCTATGAGTATGGGAGACTTTAACTAATGGATTGAGAATAACTTAGGAATAGGCTTAGTGCTTTAGAGGTTGGGCATTTGTACACGAGACTGAATGTCCTGGGCTTCGAATCCCCCTGCCAACGAAGCCACCAGTTGCCCCCAAGTGCTCTGGTGCCGCTGAGAGTAGGGACAGTAAGCTCTCCCTCTCGAAATGCTCTCACATGGCCACGTGCATAAAACCACTACCAGGGAAGTCCTACTCACTGCATTCTCGCCACAGAGGTGCTGTTTACGAAATTGAGAGGACGAACAGCGAATGTCCGGCGCTCGAAACTTGTTCGTGGATATAGGGGATCCATCCAACAATATTGAAAAACTCTGATTACAAACCAATGGTACACATAAGCTCCAGAATCCTTAGGGAGAAAATGGCATACGAACGTATTTTTGGTCACCGACTACCATGGGACTGCATTTCCTAACGTTGCTCCACTGACTTGTGGATTGGAGCTCTAGGTCAAATCTCGTGGAGTTGGCTCCCTAAGAAAACCACCTACTTCGGTTTGGGCACCCGGACAGTACCACAGCCCTCACAAAAATCAATGATAACTGCTAGTGGCGTCATTGTTATTGTGTTGCGCATATGTATTTAGTGTCTCATTGTACCAATGTTTATGTGTTCAAATAAATAAACTTCAGAAAAGTAAATGGTATAGTAGTAGTCAATAGGTTAGATGGAATGTGAATATACACATAATATAGTTACTTAATAGTTATACAATAGAAATATGTACATAACTAACAGTCCATAAATAATTCCTAGCAGTTACTATTCATTTATTCTTCATCAGGATATAACAAGCGTGTACTGCTAAGGACTCTAATAATAAGACGAAATTGCTGTCCAATAATCGTTGGTTCTCAGTGATGCCATAATCTTTGAAGAATACCACCTACAAACAATTATCAATTAATTAATCATTATAGAACTTCTTCCTGTTTTTTTGTTGTCAATTTACTTTAGGCATTTCTAACGAGTGTTCGCTTGAAATTCATTGGTTTTCATGTTCCTAATGATATAGTCTCTTTGGCTGGTCTTCCTGAACCAATTCACGAAGCTGTACGTGTAATGCGTGAACATCTTTATATTTCATTAGGTGAAATGCAAATTGAACGAGAAAATGAAATTGCTCAAAATCCTCTGTCTATGGTGAGTTATTATTATTATTATTCCCGAACATGCAGTATTCGACAATGCCTGAACATACAACTGGTAAACGAGGTGGATTAATTATTAAAGTATTTGGCTCTCAAGCAATATGTTCTAAGTTTAAACACTCAGATTTCGATTTAACTATCTCTTGCACAACTAAAATAGAGCTCAGGGTTAAGTGCATGAATCTGTAATTGAGAAGTGAGTTGTAGTTGTTATGTCCTATGGCCCGTCAAATATCACGTGACAAAATCACCAACTAATGTGACATTGTCCCAATGCTGAACCAACGATGCGTTAACCAGTACGAACAACCTTGAGTCCACCTAGTCCTTATTGGTCCTCCGTACAGAAGTTCTCGCCTAACCCAGCCCGGTTCATTCCAAAACGTAATGTCATCCTATACTGTATTGGTAACATTTCAGACATACTTGGTTTATATACAAACAGACCAGACCATATCACACTATAAAATGAAAAATAATAATTATAAAGATGAAACCAAAAGTGGTTATGTGTGCAAAAAAACCTAAGAATAGTAAATGTTATAATAGTAGTCAATAGGTCTAGAGATAGTTCCCGAAAGTTACCTGTAATTTAATCTTCTTCGGGCGCAATAATAGTCATACTGGGACTTGGGTCTGCTGAGCTGGCATCGGATGTAGATGGCTCAGCAGACCATTGGAGTGCAGGCGTCTAACGTCCCGGGTGCCGGTGGACATCGAATTTTTATGGCCCGGCAGGTCGACGAAGCTGTGAAGGTCAGCACGCCTCAGACTCAACACTTTGACGGGGAGCGTGGTACAGACTGCAGTAAACGAGAAGGTGGCATGGCGAGCATGGTGCGTGCTACTTATGTCAACAGATACAAGTAGTATGTGATACCAATCCGTAGTGGAAACCCTGTCAGCAGAAGGCTGAGAAGATCAAGTTGAAGAGAAAATAGAAACGGAGATGGGAAGGAATTGTGAACTGGAAGAATCATACAGAATGTGAAGGACAAATGATGGAGTTTTATGAATGAAGTATTCAATGTATGGTTCTCATATTTTACCAAGATATTCTGTAATTTCGTACGAAAGTATAACTTTGTCGTCCTCACCTGTGTTCTTGTTCATTACAATACGAGTAAAGTTACACAGCAACTAACACATTCTGGCATCTTCAATATTTTTCACACAATACCTTTTTACCTTCAATCAACTATCATTTTATTCACTGACTAATCTACAAACACACGAATAACCACCAATGGAAACATATACAATCACATACTCAACCTAATATCAAGGTATTAACATTTTCAAAAAACAAGATAATTGCTTATCAGTGTTTTTGATTGTAAATTACCTACAATATATATTCGTTCAATGGATGTTATCCCTTTTGGGCGACCTGCTTACACGTTTGGGCTACCTGTTCCTGCCATCTAGATATTTCAACAAGTTATCTGTTTTTGTTTGCTTTATTACATCATTATGTCTATTAATCGCCTAATTGATTCAGAAGAGTCTTTGAAAAGTTTACGACCTTCCGCTGTGCAAATTACAAAAAAAATACAATCAGAGACATTGTGGTAGCTGGCAATCTGCATTGACAACAAAATGTAAGTAAAATTAATCTTGAAGGGACAAATATGAACACAAATGCAATACATTGAACGGTTCATAGATTGTAACAAAATCCATTAGTCTTATTATTTTAATATTAAATTTTTTATAACTAAAGGATTTAGAGCCTCCCTTTATTTATTTAAATCGGTTATGAACTTTTGTCGATGAAGGTGGCTTAGATGTATGTTACCTATTCATAATTCATCACTTATTACTGAAATATACTAGAGATTAGTTATAGAAGAGTTAGTTGGTCAAGAAAAGCTGTTAAGTTACTGACTATTGATTTGTAATATTTAAAGAAATATCATAGGGCTACCTGGTTAAAACATGTGGAATAATCTCTTATTCTCTAGTTCGAAACTTACGGTGACATAGTTCCAGAATTCATAAGATTCATTCATTGTACGCAGACTCTCTCATTAGGTAAATCAGTTGATGAGGTTGTGAATCTTCATTGACTTAGATGGTTAGGCCACGTGTTACGTATGCCTGAACACCGATTACCACGACGTGCAATGCTGAATAGTGTTGGGAATGGTCAGAAGAAAGGGGCGGCCAAACCAAAACGTGGCATCAGTCCATAAAGTAACTGAATTCTAGTTTGAGCCATGTTGGCAGATACAGACTACTTAGTTGGGGTCCGTGTGACCATCGTAACCAATGGCTGGAGACTCTGGTGACATAGCTGAGAATCGATCACAATGGTGTCGGTGTATACACTCCCTGTCTTCTCTTAAACTAAGAGATTAAAATCGCTTCATATCTTTCTTTCTGTAGTATATCCTTAATGCAATCTTTCTTTTATATATTACCACATCTGCATTAACTGACTTCCATAAATCCGGTGTCCATCTTGTTGTGTTAATGAGGTATGGCAGCTTAGACCGATGCATATATGTGCCTGGTCCTACGTTGTAGCTGACTGACTGACTCTCATTCATGTGCTCTTGATGTTCTCTTAAGTTTCGATTGCATACTTCTATTTATTTTCTTTTTGAATTGCATTAGTTGTGTTTAATCAATAATTTATATGATTAATTTTTTCCTTACTATCATTGGTACTATTATTATTATTTTAACTGTTTTGGCAAGGTATAGAAAATTGAACTGATTCATGTTTAGTTGAGTTATAGTAAATGAACTCGATTTCATATATCATGGGTTAAATGTGCTTTTTCCATCTCTTTGTGGTTATGTAATATAGAAACTTGAATTAACACAAATTTATGACAGACTCTATGTTGATTATTTATTTATTCAGTTAAACACATAAAGATTGGTAAAGGTAGACACTAAATATATATGCGCCATACATTCTAGTTATCATTCTATTCGTGTGTTTGAAACTAGGGTTTGCCAACTCCCCTAGGTGGATCTTCCGTACCTATCAACCCGATTTAAGCCTCGAACATTCGCTTTTCGTCTTCTCAATGTTGTAAACACCCTCTCCGTAATAATGCAGTGAGTAGGACTTCCCTGTCCGTGGCTGTATACGTGTGGTCATGTGAGAGCATCTCGAGGGAGAGCAGATGCTCCTCACCCTTAACCGTATCAGGGCATTTGAGAGCACAACGTTGATTATGACTGATTGATACAAGCACTTTAATATTTGCAAGCAAAGATAGCTTGGTGACCAACAGTGGAATCCAGAACGCACGTTTCGTCCTATCTAAGACTCGTCAGCCATATGTATCTGCTTTGATATTCATTTAAATTTATATTAGTCTTCAGTTTCTATTTCACTGGAATATTTCTTGCTACTTCAACTTAAGTATGTTGTAACCAATTAATTCTTATTTTTCTGGTATAGAATACATTGAATGCTCCATTGTATTTTAACATAATTTTTAAATTTTATATTTCAGTTTGAATATGTCTCACAGTATTTAGTTTTTGCTAATTGTATACCATTGATTTTGAAATTTTTCAATCAAGAAATTACATTTTATATTACATCGAAAAATACGTAAGTCATTGTTGTTTGTGCGTTAATGCATTTTGTAAAAATTATGTTAAAATTATTAATAATGATAATGATACGAGATATTGTAGTTCACTTACCGAGTACAAGTTTTTATGTCAGGTGATTTGAAGTAATCTAGTGGAAACCTTAGTTAGCTTAGGTTTCGTGCCCGACAGTTGCTGTTACCTTGACACGGTGGTCGAGCTTGCCTATCGTCATGGACCGATTGGGCTATACTGGCTGGAACAATCGTTCATCAAGGCCCTACCATGCCTTCAGGCAGGTCGTTTGAAGAACGGCAAAACCAAAAGCAGTAAACCCAAGGTCCGAGGACGAAGTTGTACTGCCAACTGTACAGAAGTGTGACGATAGTAGTGTGATTTTCTCAGATAACCAGGATAACAGAGATGCTGCCCTCTGACGAAGGAAGGGTGGTGTCTGAAAAGGTGGACCCTAACAATACACTCCTCGTCTTATTCCACGGATATCCGTCTCCAGTTGTACGGTTTCAACAAGTACGGAGCTAACACAAAAATTACAAAAACGTCGTATGTGACCGGCATCAAGCAGTTGTCTCTTGGGCACTGCGGTCACGCTCTCAGGTCACTAAGATCAACTCTAACCCATTTTTTTCAGGTACCTCTAGAAGAGTCCTTCCACGGTGTTAGCAACCGGGAAGTGATAACCGTCCTCATACCTCTGACAGCACTCAAGACCACTGTATTCATGACTGACTGACTTAGGTTTCGTGTTAGTTGGCATTGGTCAATATTGTGTTATCAGCAATCTTGAGGCAATGGACACTCCTTGTGTGAATTGATCTTCTGTAGGTCCTGGATATTTCATATTAATTTATTAGTAAATGGTAATCAATGTACAAGCTTTTATGCCTAACTGTAAGCTACACCATTCGTGTGTGAGAGTTAGCGATCCTGGTATTATTCGGTTGGCCAAACCAAATTAGATGATACGGAGTACGAATCTACGACTTACTAGTCTATAAGTTCCGATTGCTTTGATCATACTAGCTCATAGTTCGAATATGTGTCTTCAAAACACATTACCTGATGAAACTATGCTATGTTAGAATTTGCAAAGCCCTTTTAGTCAATCAGTATACCGCTTTTATATCATTTCATTATTGCTGTGTAGTATCACAGTTACTAAGAATGCAATTTTCCTTGTCCAGTAATTCAATTTGGTTTGTCTAGCTTATTTTATCTTCATGATGTAGTGTGATGTGATCTGGTAACTTTGTTCAGTGAATATATTTCCCATGTTCTATATTGTGTACAACTCATGGGTTAGTTTTTCCTTTCGTTTTCACACTTGTTTAAACATTACAAAACAGTAAATAAACAAACCTGATGATTTTAACAGCCAATTCCAATCAACTTTCGTGAAAAAATATAAAACCTGTTTCATATTATGACGCATGCACTTATAAATCTTGGATACTTTCAACAGATACTCAAGTTATAGTCTCAACAACGACTGCCCGTAAGTAGACAAACATTAATATGCCGGGAGTACTGGAGATTGTTCTAAAGGTTAAGTAATTATCATGATGCCTGAAATGTCCAGATTCAATCTATATTCGAGTCATGGATGCTTACTGTACCAAGCACTTTCATTCCAGTTGAAGACAGGCGTCGAGGGTTTCGTGGTATTCACTGATTGTTTAACTAAAGAGTTGGTCCATGAATTAAAACTTAAAAATCACAATTTTATCTATCTATGTACTTCTTATCGCTTTATTTTCGTGTCTCTCAGACTTTCTTGCTTAGAATTCCCAGCTCGTCTAATTGGGGAACAAGAAGCATTATCGATCGATATGGTTGTAAGTTGCTTGCTTTATTTTTTGCGTAACCTATTCATAAAAATTTGTCCCCATAAAATTACGTTGATCCATTGCGTTTGTGATGTATATGAGCCGTGATAAACATGTCAAGTGAACAGTAATGACAACTCCACTCATTAACTCATATGACATGGTAAATAGAATGACAAGATCTTACCAAGGATCCTTTTAATGTTTATCAAAAAAATAATCATATGGAGAATACTACTTTTAAGTAGTCGTATACAGTCAACAAGAAACCGTCCTTGGCTTAGGTTTCGTGCTAATTTCGAAACGCTTCAACAAGACGTATATACAATCTTGACTGAAACCAGTGCTTCCATTATAATTCCAAATCAGCTGGGTCATAAACGTAAGAAAAGAGGTTATAAAAATGGCGACGGAGAAAAAGGAAAAAAGATTCAAGATGCCCATATCAGATGACCAGCTTAGCCGAATACTACAACAACAGTAAGCACAACTTGATGCACAAATGCGGTTGTTGGAGACTCTGATTCAACAGCTTAACATCCACTGCCCGAGGTCACATGCTATTTCAAGCACGTCTTGTGATGCAGTTGCTAGCAGCATCCCAGAATTCATCTATTATCTCGAAAGTGGAAATACTTTTCTCACGTGGTTCAAACGTTGGGAAGATACATTTAGAACAGAATTCTGTAACCAAAACGATGCGTGGAAGACTCGACTGTTGGTACGTAAGTTGGGAAGCAATGAACATGCACGTTTTGCTGACCATATATTGCCAAAGTTACCTCGAGAGCTCACTTTTGAGGAGACGGTAATTCAGTTGTCAGAGATATTCGGTGAGTCATCCTCATTGTTTAGTATTCGATATCAGTGTCTAAATTTGGTGAAACGCGAAGCCGATGAATATGGTGTTCTAGCAGACATCGTCAACAGAGAATGTGAACGGTTCAAATTACGCTCGTTGTCAAATGACCAATTCAAATGCTTAATATTCATCAAAGCTCTTCAGTCACCACAAGATGCTGAGATCAGGACTAGACTTTTAGCTCGACTGGATCAAGACCCAAACGTCACACTCAGAACATTGACAGATGAGTGTAAGCGGCTACAAAGCATCAGACACGACAATGGGTTGATTGAACAGGCGAATCCTAATTTAACCTGCAGCAGTGTCAATGCTATTACTAGGTTAAAAGTTCAGAAGCCGATAACAACTTCGCAACAAACCAACGACTGCATGCTGGTTATGTGGTGAATGTCATTATGTACGATTCTGTCCATTTAAGAAGCATAAATGTCAGGTGTGCAACAAACGTGGACATAAAGAAGGTCATTGTCCACCGAATCGTACGTCTCGACCCAAGAAGAAGCGTAAACGTCCTCCTAGCACCAGATCCCACGAATCTGCTCAAAGGGGAGGTGTTAGGGGGACATAGACTGGATTAAAGCATGCTCAATGCACGATTGCTTTGCTGCACGCTGATTGGCTAATTCTTATCCAATCAGCACTAGTTGATGGTTGGAGAATACTCAAGAATCTTCTCATGTAGAAACTATAAATGTACTAACGTTTTCCCTATTGTGCTTCTTACTTCCATCTAACCTTGTTATTTGGGATATAATCTCTTTCCTGTTCAGCTTTGTTCTGATTTGGGGACTTGTCGAGTGAATCGGTGTCCGAGAATACTAAGCAATAGGAATAGCTGGGTCATAACTGTAAGAAAGAGATTATAACAACAGTCAACAAGAAACCGTCCTTGGCTTAGGTTTCGTGCTAATTTTAAAACGCTTCAACAAGACGTATATACAATCTTGACTGAAACCAGTGCTTCCATTATAATCCAAAATCATTTTATTCACTGTCATAGAGAGATGATACTACTAAGCTATTAAAGTTGCAACTGGCTTTCCGTAGAATAAAATACCTCAACGGATGACAAGGGTTTGAATTTGATGGGGAGCATGTTAGCCATCTGAAGATTACTGTCAAATATCAGTTAACATTAAAAATATTCTCACTGTTTGCTGCTGGCTACCTCCAACAGTTCAACATTAGAGCATAGTCCACACAATGTTTAATAACTCAGATTTTGTTTTACATTACAACTTGATCAGTAGAATTTGACCAACACTAAGGAAAGTAAACACTCATGACGTCTTTTACTGCTCACTGATCCACAAATAGAATGCTCTTTATATGATTATAGCGTATAATATAAAACATGGATGACTAGTATATAAACTTAGTAACTTGATAAAGTCGAGAAAAAACAGGATGTATATTTTTTGCTTGACGCAATACAGTTTAGCCTTAAAAGGTAATAATTTGATTATTGATTATACTAATATTATAGTACTAATTTGGAATGATCTGAGAGTAGTGTAAATAAAGTACACTTTAACAACAGTGTGTAGAGTAATGGCCTTAATGATCTAGATATTCGACTTTCAACTATTTGGTTGCCCCTTGAAACATTACCATCCTATTTTGATGATTTCATCTCGTTATGTTGATACGACTGACAAGTTTTGCTACCGATACATCTAAACTATCTTCCTAGATCCCTTCAAATAGTTCTACACGTCAACTGGAACACTGTAGAGCAGATACGAATCGTAGTAAAACTTTTACTCTAAGGTTGGTTTATGTACAGATAATACAAGGGTATTGACCGAGTTACACACGACCATAGGCCTCTAAAAATCTGCGGAACCATACTAAATATAGTGGCAGTACAAGTAATTATCCAATCAAAGTCGTGGGACGTGATTCTGCATCTTTTAGATGTTTCTGCGAAGATCCTATTCAACGCTGATTGAATGAAACGTTTCTGGGTTTCCAGGAGCTTTGACAGGGGATATTTTCAGGACTCTTTCAACAATGATGTGGCAATATATGTGCACTGACACACATGTGCTAACACATCTTTAGGTTGTGTTCTTCGTTTATTATAATTCGATATTGATTATCATTCTTATTTCCCTTGTTTCTTAAAACTTGACAGTGTTATTAGTAGTATCATCAAATTGTTTTATGATAATTTTTTCTTTGTTAGTTTGGTGATTGGGTTTCGTGTTGTTGGCGTAATATGTTTTCATGTATTAACCTATTAAGGATTTTGAATATGTTAACTAAATGGAAACATTCAAGAATTATGGTATGTTTCTTCATATAAATCTTTTTATTTTATTTGAACACATAAATACTGGCACAAGGGGGTACCAGTTACATTGCGCCACACAAATCTCATTTGATATGTGTGAGGGCTGTGATACTACCCGGGTGCCCAAACCGAAGCAGATGGTTTTCTTAGGGGGCCACATTCGGAGCCTTCGACCTAACGGTCTGACCCACAAGGGAGGGGAACATCGTAAAGAGAAGCAGTCCCCTGGAAGCCGGTGACCAACGATTGGTTCATACGCCATTTGTTCCTTCAGGATACTGGAGCCCATGTGTACCATTGGTTCGAATGAGAGTTTTCCAACTCCCCTAGGTGGACTCTCCATGTCCACCAACCAGGTTAAAGCACCGGACATTCGCTTTTCGTCCTCTCAATTTCGTAAACAACACCCCCGTCACGAGAAAGCAGTGAGTAGGACTTCCGTTGCTGTGACTCTTCTGTAGTTCACACATTTGCTCAGATCTCCTTCGTTTGGTATCTTGATGGGGTTTCCTTCTCTCCAGTCTGTTGGCACTTGTTCTTCCTCCCGAATCTTTCAGTTAAGAAATTAAAATATCGTTCAAATGCTTTGAAATCCTCGTATTGTCGTGCAAATCTATTTCTGCACTTTTAAATTTTATGATAAGAATTTTTGTAGACGTAATTCGATAACTGGTCGTGGTTAAATTCTTTACGTTTACTAAATTTTGTTGAGTTTAATATTTGTTACCATGTGTTCCACCACTGTAAGTTAAAATTATCTAACTTCTGCTAATAGTTTTGATCAATCAATGATCCAACCTATCCACTTAGATAAATTCTAATGGCTAACTTCTTTTTAAGGCATGTGCTAATGATGTCTAGGAAGACGATGAAAGCTGCACAACTAAAGCACATAACTTACAAAATAAAACTCTACTAATAGTACTCATTAGCTCTGAAGCCTAAGGCATTGATTAAGGTGTGTACTGACAGATCATTTCATACGTCGAAAACCTGCTTCGACGAACTCAGTTTGTACAGTTGCATGGTAGCTTTGAAAATATACGAATATGGGTAAATTGCAAGATATTTTTGTATAGTACGAACCAACTAACGTAATTTACAAATAACTTTCACTAATCTCATGGAAACAAAACCTGTTTTTTTTTAATAAAAATCTACGCTAATCTATATTGATGCGTTCGTTAAACCATAGGTAGGTTAGATCTGTTGGTTAGAATTAAGGTCTTTAATCCCATTTAGAAAATATGAATCAGATTGTACACGGATATGATTATTTGAATTAACACAATGAAAAGAACAGATTACACTGAATAGCATAAATTGACAAATACCACTAGCTTGCACCTCATTAAGTCACAGGAGTACCGACTTTATTTGTGGAGAATTACTAATCAAAATTTTAAAGAAAAACACTTGTTCTCCCCATTCATTTGTCCAGTAACAAAATGAATTATTGTTCAGTAGGATTACTTGAACCATAACCTGAGATAAACCTTTTCCCAATTGGCTAAAAATTTAAAATATTGATATATATAATCCCGATTTAAACATTAAAAACACGAAGTTCAACGAATTTATTATCAAGCTGTACCTTTATATGAATCTAGAATTCAAAGTTGACCGGACATCTGATACAACAAAAAATCAATTAGCGCCAGCCGTAAGAATGTTCTATGCAGCAAAACTGTGAATAACGTTCAGTAGTAAGAACTTGGTTTTTGTATCGGTAAAGGATAAGTTTCCCCACTCTGGTCGACTCCATATATATTTACCAGTTCACCTGCTCTTGTAGAGCTAGGTAAATAGGCTATAGCCAGCGCTCGGATATGAGGACTCGCTCCAGTGTGGTTCCACACGAGTGATAGGAAAGCAGCTAGAAGTTCCATTCTTGAACATGTAATCGACTCTAATCATTCTACTGCTTCACAGGTTGATTTTAAGTTAAGATAAACCTGCTCCTTATTGTCTAACAATTCGAAATATGATTCCGTATTTTTCTATAGCTTCTCGTAGTCTTTAAATCTGCGCCTATTCTAAAACGTGCACTACGTGTTAGACATGCAATGCTTCAATTGTATGTATTAAAATTGTTAAAATTACAAAGTCGTTATTTTGGTCGTCAATGGCGTAAAAATAATATGTCAATTATGTCAGCTATTTATCAAAAAGTTAGACATCGATTAACAGATGACTGGGCTTATGGGAATGGTAAGTTATTTACAGTGTTTTTTTTATTATTTATATAACAATGTAAACTATGAACTACCTATAAAAATATATCGTTTACCTACAAAGTTATTTACAATCCGAATGACTACCTGTAAAGTTTCATAATGTAGCATTGTGTTACAATTCTAACATTGAAGTAGTAGTTTACCGTTAAGTACCAACTAGTAAAATAAAGTTTAAGTCCACAATATCTTGTAGACTTCCTCTAACCTCATATTGGTACATCCACGTACATTCTATGGAACATCAGGTGATATTAAATTACATTGAGAATTGAGCAACCATTCGTCCGTAGTATAACGAAACAGTAATGTATAAACAATCAACTGTAATGAATTTTGTCAACAACGATAATCAGTCAGTTTATATTCATCATAGATCTGGGCATAAAATTTGCTTCAGTCTAAAGTTGTCATTATGACATAAGCTTGATGAAATGAATTGATCAAGATGAATACTAAAGAACTCAAAATAATAGTAGTAGTGAAAACAGTAATTAAGGTTAAACAAGAAAATGGAATGTTAAGGTGTATATAGCTGAATGCTAGAAACTAAGTAAAAGATCAATATGAATAGATTTGACTAATATGAACCAACGATAATAATATATGTGTAGTTCACATCTCATGTACATCGACAATTCTATATATTTCTTCTAGGAATCTACTTTAAACGTAGATTTATGTAGCCAAAACAAAATACACATTTCGTTATAGGTGGTAGGGTAGCGAAAGAGAACACAGGCGGGGACAACTAAATGTGTTTGAACACAAAATTACAGAATGTCTTAGTAAAATCTGAGGTCCATACAGTAAATTCTTCATTTGCAAAATGTCAATCAATTGTCCCAGACTTAATTATACAGTCTGTAGTGTCGGTTACTATGTTAAGCCTATGTTCCTTATTCTAGTTTTCGGACAGCCCATTCTATTCATTCCACTTGAGTCACATTCTGACCTTGTTAATTATTCGCTTATCAATCTTGACTGTTTTTTATATGAGCGCGTAGGTGTGTGCACATTTCTTATCCAATTACTCATCACATGTCTGTAACTTACTTTTATGTAACTATAATTATTGATTAAGGCTTGGTTAAAGGGGTGTTGGCTTATCAGCCATCTCCACTGTGTGTCGTTTCGCTTCGTTCTATTCCATTCACTTTATATACAAAATATATGTATTCACAAGTCCATTCTCGTTATTCGATTTATTTAATTCTGTTATTGACTAACGCGATTCAAGTCGACGATTATATACGAGGATAGGCGACATATATATTTCGACAACATCGTCCGATCTAAATGACGACAAAATTCAAGGGCCACACAATACCTTCGTTCCCACATTGATCACTCTCTGTCCTCGTTCTCTTCGATCTTCTTAACGTTATGCCACCATGCACTTGACTTTCGATTGATGATACATACTACTTATATCTATCGACATCAGTAGGACAAACCACAATTGGTTTTAGTCATGAGTTTAACACACAAATCTAAACTTGTTGAATACATAACCTTCTTCTTGTAATGAATAATTACTCTTTATTGTTATGTTTCTATCTATACTTTTAATAAAATTATATTTTATATTCATATTTCTAGATGTTGATGCATTACCATGGCAATTTCAAGTTGAAGAATGTTCATTACGTACTAATGTAGATCAATTTAATCAACGTCGTTATTCTGATAATTGGTTTGATCCAGAATATAAACCAGTTGATAATTGTTTAATGAGTGTACTTAGTCAATCAATAGAATTATCTAATGAATTTAAAGAAAATTATGAAAAATGGCTTGAAGAAGAAGTGTTCTCAGTACCAATTAATTGGTCACATGTATTAGCTCATTAAAAAAATAACAAACTGTGTATCTTCCTTTTTTTTTTTTTAAATTTTAGTTGAACATTTGAGTGACTCAAGAAAAATTTTTTACCCCTTCTTTTTCTTGAAAAAAAAAGGAAATCATAATACCGGTTTGTGTTTTCACTTCAAATGAAGGGTATCATTAATAGTACTAAGTAAACAAATATTCAGTGCAATGTAAGACCTGTTTTGTTTTATATCTAAATATATAGCTTATGAAAAAACGTCTTATGATTCTTTCATTCGCTAGGAACCCTTCTAGAGCTACTGTTGGTCACAAATCCGAATAAAGTGTTGGGCAGGTATTAGCAGCCTTATAGATCATCTGCACAATATGGGAGAACGGAAAACTATTCAAGTAGCTGCAGGAATGAAAAGATACAACATGGCGGTGCTTAAAATCAGGCAGGCTGGATGGAAAGACTATTTTCGAGCGAGGTACTATTGTACGTTGGTCATGAAGAGGAGACTTCCACTTCGATTATGTATAAATCGGATAGCTTATAAGAAATGGCCAAATTCACTATTTTATTCGACATTCAGGCAGTATCCCAGCGCACAAACAAATCGAATGATGAAGTGCGGCACATATATATTTGATGCCTCCTAGTACCGATATTTGTGTTTAAATAAATAAATGTCTCAGTCGGCTGTACAACGTACGTCAGTCCAAATCCCACACCTTATTTCAGCATGATGACAATCAAAAGAGAGAAATAACAACTCCAATAATGGTGGAACATGAAAAATACTATTTAGCGGACAAAAGTAAGGGAAAGAGATGATATTTGTTTGAGGTTTTAGAGACTGTTTGGCGCAGCTGTGCGCGATCACGTTCTCAGTATCATCCATCAATTCTGTCCATAGATTTTAAAACATGAAGTTCGTCTATTATGTAACCGCTTTCACCACAGTTTCCTATGTCAAGACAAGGGTTGTGTTATAACTGTGGTCCTCCATGTTAATTCAACGTCTAATCAGTCAGTAACAACGTAGAACTTCGTACGTACGTACATCAGTTCGAGTTGCCATACCACATTAGCACAGAGATGCAGTTGTCGATTCAAATCCCGTAGTGGTAGAGGCGGTAAGAGTATAAGCAGTAATCGGGAAAATTAGTGTTTGGAGATGTTATTCAAAGAGTATAATACAGTGAAATAAATTTGGAAAGAGAAAAAGAAAGGGACATGAACAATTCAGAAGAAGAGAATTTGGGAGAACACAAAGAGTGGATGCACTGCGCCATTCCAAACGATTTTGAGCCATGTCATTCAGAGTCTCTAACCATCGGTTGCTATCATCTCGCGGTCCCCAACCAGGTAGTCTACACCTATCGACATGACTCAGACCACTTGTCAGTGACTTCATGGACTTGCGCCATGCTTTGGTCTGGCTGCCCCTAACTTTCTTCCAATCTACTCCTGTACCACTGAACATCGTATGTCGAGGCAGTCGGTCATTGGGCATACGTAACACATGTCCCAGCCATCTCAACTGATCAAGTTTCACTACGTCATCAATTGATTTGCCATCCTTACCTAGTACCCGTTTCCTAACAACTGCGTTATTTACTCGATGGTCCAGGATATACGAGCAATGTTTCGAAGACACCTATGATCAAATACTAGTAACCTACGAATATCCTCTACTCTTACCGGCCATGTTTCACTGCCATAAAGAAGAACGGGACGAACTGCTGCGCAGTAAACCCGTCCTTTGGTTGATAGACGGATATCTTGCCTACGCCATAAATGACGCAACTTGGCAAAAGCTAGTCGAGCCTTGTGTATCCGTGCTTAGATTTCGTCACACACCAGACCACAAGGGCTGATGAGACGTCTAATATGAATTTGTGAAACTCTCATGATCATTAGCGATAACCATTTGGAATCTCTATCATAAACGAATTGTCGTACAGTTGTTTCAACCAAACTTTTATAGTCTGTGTTAATTCAACAATATCTTTATTACATATTAATATGAGATGCAGTTACATCCAGCTGACGAGTCTCAAATAAGACGAAACGCGCGTCCTGGATTTCACTGCTAGCCACTATCCATCTTTGCTTATAAAACCTTGTGAATTAAGACAATATCGAGGCATACGCACATATGCCAATAACACTTATCAATCGCCGTCTTAAACCTCAATGGGAAGATACAGCGAAACAATATCAAGTGAATTCTATATGAATTGTTTAAACAATTTAATCCGATTCTGATTTTTTTTTCTAGTTTAGTGACTTATTAAACTATTTGTTTTTCATAAATAGTAATTTGAGAACATGAAATGCAAGAACAGTTTAAATATCTAAATAATGTGTAAATTACAAGGTTGAAAGAGCTTATTTGACAATATGACTTGATACAGTAGATATCAGACTTGATACCAGTCTGGAATTTGTTCAATACACTACATAGATTACATGATGCAGAAACACTAACGTTTGAGAACTCCTTTAGACTATACAAACATTCATTGACGTAATTCACGTACAGTTACACAACTTTATAACCCAGAGTTCCCGCTTATAGAAACGTAAGTGAACATATTATTATTTAGCTTTGCCCGTTGGCTGACATTTCACCAATTCACAAATGTTTCGATTAACTTTTTCTTATCATCATTAGTTATTTAGCTAAAGCTTGTTTGTGATTTTAATTACGTTCAACGGTTTTAAAACCTTTGACTTTTCAGCGACCTAATTGACAGTTCAAACCCTGTTAAACCTACTCCAGTTTGGGCAAATGGATAACATCACAATCCTTCAAATGCTTAGACTGTACCTGTTAATGATTTCAATAGATAAATAAGTCATTTAATTTCTTTAAGTAAAGTAATAAGTTTCATTTTTGAAAAATACAGGCGACAAGATGAGAGAAATCGTTTAATAAAAGGAATAAAATTATCATAAAATGTATCAACTGCTTTGTACTAAGTAAGAAAAAAAAACCCAACCCAAATGGATTGAATAAATATGATGAACATATATACAAAGAGAGTTTCATGTAAACAGCAGTTATATATTAAGCCATATTACATAACTAGATATACATTAATGTATAGTAAAATTACATTCAAATTACAAAAATAAAGAAACAACAATAGACATTGAAAGATCAAACAGAAGATGATAAGAATAATTGAAGTTTTGATATAATACTGTACAAATTTCCACAGGTTGGTTTACAAGTTTCAAAATATTCTTCAAGTTTTTCAGTTCTATGTAGATATACAATGTAAAAAATAAAAAAAAAATCAATAACAGTGGTAATAATAGTAATAATACTGTTTGTAATATTACGTAACCAATCCCCATGACTACTCTCATATTCCTGTAGAATGTTGGTCTTACTCGACAAAAATGAAAACAATAGCCTACTGATTAAATTTATTGGATTTAGATTTTTATTACAGTTAAAAAGTGGCTATGCTTAGAATTCAGAATATACACGTTCCGTCCTACTTGAGACTCATCACGGCTGCTTAATTCCCGGCATTGATGTTCAAACTTGGATTTCATTTAAACTCTAACACGTTATCCACTAAAGCTACTGAGTCCAGATACTTACTAGCTTACTTATCAGGTATCGAGGTTTATTTTTAAGAGTTTGTATTTCCTTGCTAAACTTATTGAATAACACGTAGCTGTTCAGAACAAGAAGTAATGGATAAGAGTGGGTGTAAATATCATGAATATAAAGCAACATCCAACCAACAAGAACAAGACGCTCGTTCAAGATTCCACTGGCAGCTAATAAAGAACTTTAATAAAAACTTGTTACGAAATAGAAACATTGAGGTAATCTCATGATGTATGTATAGAAATAGAGATTTGTCAATTGAAATCCTGAATATCACAATAATTAGGAAATATGAACCTTTATAAATATTGGGATAAGAGGTTCCAAAATCATACCACATGTGTGATTTTGGATAGTTGTTGTGCAATGTCATTAGTCCTTACAGTCGATAGCACAAACACGTAATTGATAAATGTAAGTTACAATATTATTACGCAAATCGAATTACATCGACAGTAATCTGTCGTAGTGTTCTATTGCTGGGGTATGGATCTAACGTGACTAGATAGGTTCAACTACTAATAAACAACCGCATGTCAACGATGACAGTTGCACACAAGAAAGGAGAGGTAAGACTAGACTTTTCAAGAGAAAATTCTAATCAGACTAAAAGGTGTAATCATTAAGGAAAGAGGTCAATTACACATGGGTCCTATATGATTGATATTAAAATCTATTTGTTGCTTAATGGTAGCAGTTCAAAGCAAGAAATAGGTAAATAATGTATGTATTTGTGCTATTGTAACCGGTGTCATGTCACTTTAACTAATGATCATAATCACTGTGCAGAATATGCATTTACGAAGACAATTAAGCCCACACATATCACTCGATTAGTTAAATAGCTTCATCGGTGGGAGTATAATTATGGATCACATTTGAGCGACGCTAAAGTGACCTTGAAAACTTCCATCCAATAACTAGGATTAAATGGGTCTTATAAACCAATGTGAGGAATTAGAACCATGAGTTACAGTTGATGTTTAGAGTTAAGAATTTAATTTATGGTTTTCATCACGAACTGATATCAATTATGATGCCAAAACTCTACTTAGCCAAATATATGAATGAATTACGCACCAAAACCCAAGACTCGTTATCTTACATCTGATTGATTCGTCCATAAATTATAATCTCGCCGTTTCACCAATCAATTTGTTATTCTAGAATCTTGTCATAACACTATTCATTCACTTTGCTTACAAAACACAAGTAATTCAATAAATCAACAATAGTAATATATAGTGTGTGATCACTTGTACACGAATGACTGCATACAAGACAGAATACCTAAGTTTCCTTATAACGAATCTGATTCAAAGAAGCTCTTTTCTAACATTAAGTGGTAAAAAATTCATACTTATAACTCATATGACAATTAGGCATAAAAATACTCTAGTAGATTTAAGCAAAAAGTGATACCTAAATAAAACACACATATCTACCTTAGATTTCCTCTTAAAACTGCAAATTCAACAGAACCTTGACTAGAATCCATGTAATCCAATGACATTAAAGTGAATCGTACCATTATACGATAGTTACGTGTAGAAAATTTTACAGTTATGCTAGTAAATAAAATGAAACCAGGAGAAAAAGCATGAGGATGGGAGAAAGTATATCCAGGGGGTTATCATAACAGAACTATATATACATGTACAATATAGAAAAAGTAATCTGTCTAGCTAGTAAATAGATGTTTGCAAGATAACTGTTATGACCTTGAGTGTCTGACTTTTCGATCACACGACTTATCTACCAATCCGAATACGACTTATACGAATCTTCACACTAGGCCAACCAATGACGTTTAACCGGTGTGGGCAGTTTAGTGTCCTTATTGGTCCTATGTCCTACGAGCCCTTCCACTTGAGTCCAGAACAAGATACCAGCTTCCGAATCAGAGCAGATCGTTTATTTCAGGCATACTTGGTTTATATATCAATCACACAGACCTCAACGTACCATAAAATAGGAAATAATATTTGTACACAAATAAGCCCAAAAAGTGGCTGTGGATGTGGGAGGCAGTAGTTAATAAGCTGAACATAACTTAAGAACCGTAATTCGTACAATAATAAGTTATAGGTCAAAATAAAGCTTACAATAAGAGGAATATAAATATACATAGTGTAATTGTTGAGTAGTTATACAATAAGAATATTTATAGAATATTAGTCCATGAATAGTCCTCGGAAGTTACCTGTAATTTAATCTCCACTCGGATATAACAATAACCATTCTAATTCATCAGGATATGAATGAATTGGTTAATAATCTCGAAATTGATAGCCATCAAATTGAGTTGCTTCAAACTATACACAATAACCTGTTAGATAGTCGGCAGTCCAACACAACGTCAATTAAAACATTGTGCAAGCGATATTGAATCATATAAATATTTGTACAAAGGGGAACCAAATAGATATGTGCCGCACAATGAACTTGATTTTTGTGTGGGCTGTGATACTACCCAGGTGCACAGACCGAAGCGGGTAGTTTACTTAGGGGACCACAAACGGAGCCTGTGACCTAAACGTCTGACCCACAAGGCAGTGGAGCAACATTAAGATGCAATCCTATGGTAGCCGGTGACCAACGATTGGTTCATACGCCATTTGTTCCTTCAGGATAGTGGAGCTCATGTGCACCATTGGTTTGGAATGAGGGTTTTCCAATTTCCCTAGGTGGACTCTCCATGTCTAACAACTCGGTTAAAGCGCCGGACATCCGCATTTCGTCCTCTCAACTTCGTAAAAAAATCACACTCCGCCGCGAGAAGGCAGTGAGTAGAACTTCGCTGGCAGTGGTTATATGCACGTGGTCATGTGAGAGCATTTCGAGGGGGGAGAGATTACTCTTCCTACCCAAGGCCGTACTAGGGCATTTGGGGGTGATATTGATCACAATTTAGTAATCAGTCAATGTACACACTTTTCAGTGTCATGAAATCGAAATTATAAAGTCGGATAGGAATTAACCGACTTTACATTCTCTATGAAATTCTTGCGTAACAAATAGACTACTATTTATCGGTAAAATTAACTATTAGCTGATGGACTGTTCTCTTACTGGTTAACATATATTTGATTTGGAATAGGCTAAGTGTCCATGAATTGGTAGTGCATCTACTCATCCACGTACAATATCTGCACAGTTTTTGGGCATTTTCGTTCATTCAATAAGTGAGTGTACTCTACACATAAGAGCACGATTTTTACTGTGGAATTTCACTACAAGTTCTGACTTTCATTTTATCTGCCTTTTTTTCATTTATCTAGTTGAAATGTGCCACAGTGGAATGTTCATAAAAGACATGTGTAGACAGTTTAAGATGATTGAAATGAGATATCCAGTGAGAAATATTCTCATTTCTTTAATACTTACTAACTAAATTAGTTAAAAAAAAATCTGGAAATTGCTAGATATTGTACATTCTATTAAGCATTGAAAAAAGGATGGTTGACCTTATATAATTGTATTAAACAACTATTTTGGTCTTTGACTACTATAAAGAATTGATTGTTTTTAAGTTTGCTTATCACCTTAGGTTACAAGTTTCCATCTGAACCACACAAAAAAGGTATACATGTGTAAGTATGAAACGAAAAAGAATTTTTCATTTACCTAAATGGTTCAGATGGTGTTAAGTATTCATAGAACGATAATGACTTTTCAACAGGTATCATACTTTCACCAATAATCGATTGATGATGCAATTGTTTTGACTGAAATGGTGTTCTATGTGAAGTTGATAAAGAGTGAACAGCTGTAGATCGTGGTGTTTGTCCAATTAAATTACGCAATTTCTTTGGTGTAAAATAACCACCAGTGAATAGTTGATCGTCTATTGATGTCATAACAAGATTCACATCACATTTAGCTAACCATAAAGAACGTAAATCACTGGCTAAAACCATGAACGGAACAATGATAGTTTCGATTGTCTTGAAATAATCAGAAATGCAAATTAAGTTAATAAATATAGATAAACATTAAATCAAGAATAGATAATATCATGAGTTTAGAAATACAACGAGATCCTTGGAATTCACTTAATCTACAATTTAGATATTTTCTCAAGCTGATAAGTTGTTCATGGTTGCCTGTTTTTCAATAATATATATGTGTATGATAACATATAACGCAATTCCACTCTGTTGGTCTGTACTAATGTATGCGTTGGTGAAGATGAAGTTCGTTTTATCTGCCGTATTTCTTTAGTCTACATTAAAATGTAGTGAAATGGTTATGTTGGCTTGAATCAGTAATACTTGCTGGTAGGGTTGCAATATAATAATGATAATTTCTGAGAAATGCTTATCACATTAGGTAGAGAACAACTACATGTAGAAAATGAAACACCATTAAAATGAATGCGAATAAGTTAGCAATCTTTCTAGACATTTAAAGGAATACATTTTCATATGTTTATATCTCGAAATGACACTAGTTATGCAACCATTAAGAATCATTATGTGCCGTTATCCGTGAAAAAGATGCAACTTATGTATATGTACACTTCATGTTAGAAACCGTCATAGACATTTACCTACTATAAATTTAAATATTAATCGGTCATTTTTCATCATGAGGTGATATCAACCTGGCAAAATATTGACAACATATTTGATTCATTTCAAGTTATCAACTCCTGCACAAACTAATTAGCCTTAAAATTCGACAATCGATACAGCTATCCTTAGCTCAGTAGTTAAATAGAGAGATGGTTCGTTGATGAAAACATCTGCCTTACAACCACCAATGTCATAAATTTCAACTTTATCGCTCCATCTACAATGACTTTGACAATCATATATGAAAAATATCATGTTAATCGAAACAAACTACATGAACTTGTACATGGTAAGTGAGTTTTACATTGCTTTGAAGCTTAACTTAAATTATACCAACGTTTTATAATTCTCCGCTGTTAATATTCAGGAGTATTAATTGATTAATCGCTGTTGTATTATGAGGATCTTGAGCAAATAGCCTCCATATATGTTTAGAATATTTAACGTGTGGTTACTAGTGGGACATGGGATGTGTGCTTTGAGTTATTCGGGTTCGTCAGTTAAATGTACTTTCATTCGGGTGTTATTGACCTCAATACCGAAACTCGGACCAAGTATATTTCGCTTCATGTTGCCAGCACATATCAATTTAAATTATACCCATATTTTACTCACAAATTACTTAAGAGATGTAGAAAAAAAATAATAAACTCACTTCAATTACATCAGCCATTGTAAACCCAATGCATCGTGTACGCAAATTATCATAACCAACTGTATTTAAATATTCAATAAAAATACGAGCAACCGATTCAACGGGTGGACACTCCACGGGACATTCAACTAATTCAAATTAAATGATAAAACAGACAATGAACACTCAAAAGATAAGCTAAGTTATTATCGTCAGTAGAATAAAAACATCAAGTAAAGTAATAATTTTAGACATGATATCAGTGTTCCTTTGAAAAAATCCCACTATTAACCCTGTGTATTTTAACAAGTCGTAGGTCGATATACTTTTAAAGCCTATAATGGTCAGTTAGTCAGTTAACGTATAAACTGGTACGTAAAAACATTAGTTTAAACTGCCACATCCTATTAGTACAGAGAGATGAAATTGTCAAGCCAAATACCAGAATAGTATGTGTAGTAACAGTATCAATGGTAATGAGGAATGTTACGCATGGATTTTATTTATTATTTATTTGAACGCATAAATAATGGTATAAGGAGGCACCAAACATATATGCGCCACACAAAACAATGAGAATGGGAAGATAAAAAAAGGTAAGGAGCGTAAAAGAAAAAAAAGAAGAACAATAACGACCGGATTAGTGTAAGGGAGTGTAAAAATAGTAATAATGGGGAGACGGAAAAGAACAACTAGAAGAAATCCTTCAGTTAAGGAAGATACAACCACTTTTTATGAAGAAAGTAAAAGAATGTTACAGCAGGATCGCCATTGGCTTCTATTCTCAGCCATATCTGATAACGTCTCTAGCCACTGTGTAGCACCATCTCTCAGACCCCAACCAGGGAGTCGTGAAGGACCAACACAAGCCAGCCCTTTGCAGCTTTCTTTCATACCACAACACCATGGCATACACTGACCACCTCCCTACTTTTTCCAACCAGTCACAGAGTCGGCAAATAATGCACGACGTGGAATTCTCTGGGACGACATTCGGAGAACACGTCCAAGCCACCGAAGTCGGTGTTTCAAGATGGTGACACCAACTGCATTATCGTCTCTGTGCCCGAACACACGATGTCGAGCCTCTGCATTACTGACATGGTGTTGCCACTGAATGTCAGCAATCCTTCGGAGACAGCGATGATCGAACACAGAGAGTCGTCTAACATCCTCAACTCGGAGAGGCCAGGTTTCACAAGCATAGAGCAAAACTGCTCTCACCGACGCGTTGTAGATCCGACCTTTTACAGCCAGACTAACATCACGAAGGCGCCAAAGATGGCCCAGATTGGCATAAGCCGCTCTGGCTTTCACTATACGTGCATTGATCTCATCACTCACACCACCACCAGCACTTATGCAGCTACCTCGATGCACGAACTTCTCGACTACTTCTATCTGCTCACCATCCAGGGTGAGTACAGGATTAGGATCCTGCCAGTCTTGTAGAAGTACTTTGCACTTCGAAGGTGCAAAGCACATACCATACCTACGGACACTGATTGCCAACTGATTAAGTGCGGATTGCATGCCTTGGGCATTATCGCACAGTAAGACAATATCGTCCGCATACTCAAGGTCGAGAATTTTTTTCCAGGCAACAGATCTACACCGCCATTACTTACATCCATCAGAGCTGTTTCCAGAATGTCATCGATGGCAAAGTTGAAGAGGAATGGTGAGATTGGGCAACCCTGTCTAACTCCACTGCTTGAATGGAACAATGGAGAAGAGTGGTTGTACACCCTCATGGAAGATACGACGCGAGAAGACAATATAAATTGATGAGATAAAAACACAAAAAAGTTATGAAGAATTAGAATTTGGAGGTATAGGAAAAGTGAACGCATTTGCGCCATTGTGAATGATTTTGAGTTATATCATTTAAAGACTGTAACCAATGCCTACAACAATCACGCGGACCCGAACCAGGTAGTCTGCACCTATTGACATGGTTAAGTCAAACTGTCAGTGACTTCATGGACTGACGCCATGTATTGGTTCGATCCTCACCCTTACAGTTCACTCCTGCACCAGAAAATCGCTCGTCGAGCTAGGCGGTGGTTAGGTATATGTAACACATGTCCCAACTATCTAAGTTGATGAAGATTTGCTATTTCATCAATCGATTTACCATATTTAGTTGGTACTATATTCCTAACCCAGGCATTGTTTACTCTGTGGTCCAAAAATACACGAGCAATGCTTCGAAGACACCTATGATTGAATACTAGCAATCTACAAATATCCTCTGTTCTTAATGTCCGTTTCACACCCATAAAGTAGGACGTTGATTCCTGCTGAGCAGTAAACTAGTCATTTGTTTGGCAAATGGATATCTCGCCTACACCACAAGCGACGCATGTTGGAAAAAGCAAACCGAGCCTTCTGAATCCTATATTAAGCTTAAATTAAATGAAGGTTTTCACTGTTGACAAGATTAAGTTAACTTTTGTTAAAGATCTATGGATAATTGGAAACTTTCGATTGTCACATCATAAAACTATACTTCTGCTCAAAGAGTCTGAAAATGAGAATAAACAACTAAGTGATCTTCGAGACTTGGAATCGTGACCGCAAAATTTAAGGATCAGCTTCTCGAAGCCTTTGATTTGTTCGAGTCAAACTCTTACAACAATATCATCAACCCAAGATATTTTATGAAAAGGTGAGGTGTGATATTATTAAAATCTCTTCTTTTTAACTCATCGTTCGCTTATGGGAAGATAGTATAGTTGAAAATGCTAGTTATTCGAGGAAAAAAACTTACTAATAAGCTATAATTAAATACAATCTGAAGTACGAATTGACCTACAGACTTTAAAATTGCCTGTTTTCAGTTATTCAACCGACTAGACAATTTTGAACTAATGTCGTATTTAACGAAGTTGCCGAAACGAATAGTTTTTAGAAATGACTAGGTAGGATTCTGATAAATGAAAAATTGATTTACAACCCAAAAAGAATACAAACATCCTATGAGTAATCACTCATTTCGGATGATGTTAGGAAAAACTTTTTTGCTGAATACTTATAAGAACGAGTGTTTGATTATTGGTTAGTATTCATTATTTCTTTTCAATGTATTAAAACAACACTAACATTTTTGCTGATAAACCTCAGTGGAATCGATAAATCTAATCACAGATAGAAATCATCGCATGAAACCGTACTATTCCATTTTCCAGACTACATGAAGATAAAAATGGATATTTGGGAACGCACGCATAAAACATTGAAACGCAAGTTCTCTATATCCCTCATCGTTAAAATCAGTTATGAAACCTGTTCATTACACCAGAATAGTCAGTCAGTAACAACGTAGAACTTCGTACGTATGTACATCAGTTCGAGTTGCCATACCACAATAGCACAGAGATGCAGTTGTCGATTCAAATCCCGTAGTGGTAGAGGCGGTAAGAGTATAAGCAGTAATCAGAAACATTAAAGTTTGAAGATTTTATTCAAGGAGTATAATACAAAGAAATAAATTTGGAAAGAGAAAAAAGGGACATGAACAATTCATAAGATTAGAATTTGGGAGAACACAAAGAGTAGATGCACCTGAGTCATTGCAAACGATTTTGAGCCATGTCATTCAGAGTCTCTAACCATCGGTTGCTATCGTCTTGCGGTTCCCAACCAGGTAATTTACACCTACCAACATGACTCAGTCCACTTGTCAGTGACTTCATTGATTTGTGCCATGTTTTGGTCTGGCTGCCCCTAACTTTCTTCCAATCTACTCCTATACCACTAAACATCGTATGTCGAGGCAGTCGGTCATTGGGCATACGTAACACATGTCCCAGCCATCTCAACTGATCAAGTTTCACTACGTCATCAATTGATTTGCCATCCTTACCTAGTACCCGTTTCCTAACAACTGCGTTACTTACTCGATGGTCCCAGGATATACGAGCAATGTTTCGAAGACACCTATGATCAAATACTAGTAACCTACGAATATCCTCTACTCTTACCGGCCATGTTTCACTGCCATAAAGAAGAACGGGACGAACTGCTGCGCAGTAAACCCGTCCTTTGGTTGATAGACGGATATCTCGCCTACGCCATAAATGACGCAACTTGGCAAAAGCTAGTCGAGCCTTGTGTATCCGTGCTTAGATTTCGTCACACACCAGACCACAAGGGCTGATGAGACTCCCAAGATAAGTGAATCAGTCGACACGCTCAACTACTTCATTCCCTATCATTAGTTTGGGTGTCGAGGCAGCTCAATCCTGAAGCAACATTTTGCATTCCGAGGGAGAGAATCACATTCCGAACATGCTTGCATTGTTCCTTAGGGTGGTCAGAAGACTCTGCATTTTGTCAACGTCTTCACCAGAATATTAGGTGGTTGAAGGTAGTCAGTAATGTATCCAGGGCACAGATTTTGTGCTTTTCTGAACTCATCAACGAGGTACACCTTTAATCACCAAGAAACTGATTCCTCATGGTAGACTCAATCCACCGTCGCGATCTGAGACGTTACTTACTACCGAGAGATTCCAGATGCGAGTGAACTGTAGGACAGAGATGTTTACACCTGATTGTTTAATAAACAGTTACGGAAGTTACGTTTGCCCGATCTTTATTGCTGATCAAATTAATAGGTGAAGTTGGAATCCAGACACTAGTCTAACTGAACCGACATTACATGCACTATGATGAGATGGTAGGTGGTTGGAAACAGTCAACAAAAAACTTTGAACCTTGCTTTCGTGCATTTCAGCGCTCATTTCCTCAAAATTACAGGAATGCTTTTGATGAGTACTGAAGATCAGAGTCAAGATTTTCAGCACTAACACTAAGACAGTTCTATTGTACAGATGTTTCACTAAAACGTACAGTAATTTATAACCTATATATGCAAAGTACATCAGATCCATTGGTCAGAGAAATAGCAATAACCTACTTTGGAAAAGAATAAAGCAGCTATCAGCTGAGGAGGTGATCAGGAAAAGACATTGGAGGTGGACAGGACACATTTCTACAGAAAACAAGTCCTAATTTCGAATCCTCAAGGTATAAGAAAAGCAGGCAGACCAAAGAATACATAACGAAGAAAACTGGAAGCAAGGATCAAGACCATGAATAGTATCTGGGTAAAACTAGAGCGGAAAGCTTACGACATATTTGGATTTACATCCCTGGTTGGCGGCCTATGTCTTAAGAAGGGTAAGTGTTATAAATAATTGGTACAGCCTATCATTGTTAGGTATGTTGTAAGTTATCTTAGACAAATCGGTGGTACTAAGTAAATGACATCTACACGGAGATTTAATCTTAGTGAACTTTAGATCTAACAATGGAAAAAAAATTAAAGAAAGTTATCACAAACATTACAATAACCAAACAATACAACATACCATCTGTTGATGCGACAACTTGTACACTGATCACTTTCAGATTTTCCGGATTAACTGTTGTCTGCATATCGTCATCATCATCTTCTTCATCGTCATCACCGTAATCATTACCGTCAATGCTTTCATTACATTGATGATTATTGTTATTCTTTCTATCAGAGTCATCAACTAACAGATCGCATACTTGACAAGTTAATAAGAAATTCACTAGACCAAATAATGTTGATACTTCATACATATGATTATCTTTGTCAAACGATGTACATGTTATACGACAAGGTGAAAGTCTATTAGAGAAACAATAAGAATCTATATGTGTTTAAAGAAATATTCCTTTATTTTAAAAAAAAGACAACGAAAACTTAACTGATATTCTGATTTGATAGCCTGATCAAGATGTGATGTCATCATTTCATGAAGTGATTGACTTTTAAACAGAAGTCGTAGATTTTTTTAGTCAGAATTAGAGAACCTAAGATGAAGCAATTTATGATCCGTTGCAAAAGCATCAGTGGATTTATTCTTTATTGTACACTGAATCTTGTGAATTCAATCATTTAGACATAAAGCAACCAAGTTGTAATGTCATTCGAAGATAATAATTAGCGATAATGGAACGCAGTTCTTGTCTGTCACATTCACAATTTGACTGACAGGATGGGATTAACTATGTCTAAATACTCAATCTGACGATCAAGTCGAACATTTTGTTGGTATATTAAAAAACCCCTATGAGCAATTTGGAAGAAATGAGGATCATCGAAGAGATTTTACAGATTCTTATGCTCATCTAATGTACTAAACTGAGTAGCCAAACAGTTAATGGGGTCTCCTCTCAAGAAACTTTACTAGGCTGGAAATTACGTACATCTGTCGAAGCTAGTTATCCGGTCCCAGGACTTGAGTCCAAATGGAACAGGTTATTCGAGAAGAAACTCAGTTGATACCATGGAGAAGAAAGATGATTGCTTACTATGAATTTGGAGATATTTGTTACGGACAATCAGTAAGCACCCATAACATAGATATTCCATTGAGTTATGTAAAGAAATGGAAATAACCGTCATGAAGTGTCAGTAGGTTCAGAAATTCAGGTGCACCAGCCAATATAACTAAAAACGCCTTCGATTAGCACCAACGAGAACCGATGTGGAATATCCTCAGACATTGTAAGGTACATTCGAGCTCAAGTCTCGACAAAGTCAGGCCAGTTACTGAAAGGATAAAAAACGATAACTCTTTATTGCCTAGAAGGTGGACAGACAGGAAGGCCATATCATTTATTTTGATCGAAGTGAACTGTAACAACGGATCCTACGAATATGCTCAGACGGAAGGTGTTAGTAGAACAAACACTTGATTAACGCATCTTTTGTACAGGTTAAAGTTGGAGTAAGCTGAATGGTCAATTTTCAACTAAACAGGAGAATTTAATGCAATTGGTTCCTTTTGTGAATTAAAATAAAGCCAGAACGAACATGGATACAGAATAACATGAATTCATTATATTCCGTAGTTTCTCATCAGCTGCTTACAACAATATATGTATTGGAAGTTTGCAATTAGGTAAGATGTAATGTGAAACAATTGACACAGATGAGTGAAAGGAATTGAAAAATGACAAAGGTTATCAATAATGACTTTCTATATGTATGTGAAATGACAGGTCGGTAGTCATTTGGTGTTGGAAACCAAAAAATAAAAGGGGTGAGTAATGCATTAGTTAAGTGAGGTTCAGAGGTAGAAAACTAATGCATCACTCATCCCTTTTATTTTTTGGTTTCCAACACCAAATGACCACCGACCTGTCATTTCACATACATATAGAAAGTCATTATTGATAACCTTTGTCATTTTTCAATTCCTTTCACTCATCTGTGTCAATTGTTTCACATTACATCTTACCTAATTGCAAACTTCCAATACATATATTGTTGTAAGCAGCTGATGAGAAACTACGGAAAATATAATGAATTCATGTTATTCTGTATCCAGTCAGAGGAAGTTGATAAGCTGAGAAAACCAAAATGTTTCTGTTTGAAGTTTATATATACACTGACATCTTTTGCTAAATTAAATTCACTTCCTATTTGCTTTGAAATATATTTACGTTAATGTCCAAAGTCTTGTTTAAATTTGGGAACGAGTCGAATAAAATAAAATGTCAGATTGGTCATCTTTTAGATTTCAAAAATTTTAATTTATGGAATTTGTTCGAGCATAACCCAATCGTAAATGTCTTACTACCAAGATACAGATCCACTAAATTAAAATAATCTTTTATAGACATGATTTACAAAAGCCCGACAACACAGATAAAAAGTTATGACACGGTTTAAATTCAAGTACGCTTTAAGCACTGTACAAATAATTATACATGTAAGTAGTTTTCTTCTTAGACTGACCTCTGCTGAAGTACCACTGAAAATCAAAGTGTATTGTAGACAATTATATCGTCCTAGAACGGGTCTCTACAGAGCTGAATACCCACAACCCTGACAGAGATCGAACACCAGACCTTTAGATATGGTGGCAAGCACTTAACCATTAGACTATAACATTTCTAACTTAACATAAGTTTGAGATATAATGAGGTAACAGTAAACAGAAACTTTTGGAAACTTACAGATTTATTAATTGTCTCGTAACTATTGGTTCGAGTCTGCTCCTATCATTATTATTACAATGCTGGATAATGGATGTTTCACTGATCGGTATGGGAAATAATTCTGTACAGCCGATAGAACGATTAACTAGAGTGCTTGAATTATACAATTCCTCTTGACGATTTTTTTCTGATAACTCTTTCAACTTTTTTTCCAAGTACTGTTTTCTTTGGAGTAACTTTTTATTTGATTGACGTATTACAGTCTGACGTTGAGTGGTTTCATCAATTTCTTGTTTGATTCTATTGAGTTCTAAGAGAATAATAATTAAAGATTGGAAGAGAGATTACAGTGGAAAGAAGAATAAAAATATTAAGAAAACTAGTTTACACTGTAAACGCGAATAGTGATGGTTATTTATTTAAACCAATCATTTGTGTATCGTGAGTGCATACTGATGGCTAGTTTTAAAAACTAGGATGAAACTCGTGTCTAGTGCTCTTGATGTGGTTTTCAATAATTGGTTATCTAAACGTAGACCTATGATGTAAACGATGAGAAAGCCATTTATGTATGTAATTTGCAAAAACCATGTACATGTTTATTGATCAGAGGGCTTTGGAACTGCCTGTCTATTTCATTGCTAAGAAGAAACCAGATTATCCAGTTTTTTGTTGCTACATGTTAGTTCTTTGTATAAAGGATAACATCAATGGTTACCTAATTGGTTGTCGTTACTTTTAGCTTGCTAACTGTTGTATAGCCAGAGTAGATTTTCAATTTTTAATTCCTCATGGAACTTAAAGTTGTCTTGAGAGTCTCATCTGCCATATTCTTAGTAGGTTGTGGATTAACAACGTTGAAGTATTGTTGCGTGACACGTTTAGTTTATTCTAGTTCCCATTATTTGAATCGTATTAGAAGAATCCTCAATCGTTTGTAGATAGAATTTCCCTTCAACCAACCTCCACTAATTTAGTCACTATTATCGAAACATGACGTTTATGTAAGAAAAAATAATAACAATATAAAAGTGTTGATCAATCACTGAGTAGTAACCTATCTCATATTTATATAATCTTCAATGTTGACTAAAGTCTATTGATCAGATTAAGACGTAACTAATAGTCTATTTGATCGTTTATCGTTGTACGTACTACTAATTTGATGAGTATCGATGTCATATAGTTCAATTTTCCCCACTGATTCTCAATGTGTGCAGGTAATAGTTGTCAAATAAAAGGGGATTACTAATTTAATTCTAAAACACATCTTTCTAACTATAAACAATTCAACAATTATATTTTGTACTTATGATAATCATCGATTTGTTTATGATTTATGTACTAGAACAAAACAATTATTCATTGCCTTCTAGTTTTCAAAGGTTATCTGTTATACAAAACCATATGTTGACTATAAGACAATCAACCAATCAATCACATATAACATAATTCCCAACGGAGGAATATTTGATTTCTATATTTGGCCACTATACTGTACCAATGCCTTTTTAAAACTAATCTTGTTTAATATCAAATGGTTGACTAAAGCCGATCAGTAGGAAATCCTGATAATCATCTGTAATATAAAACAAAATGCTTTATCAATGAATTCATTAATTTATTGGATATGTGCTTACGATATTGTTATTTGTTACTATTCCATGTTATATTGTATGCTATATTTAAGTAGTATTTCGTATTGTATATATATATATATATATATATATATATATATATATATATATATATATATATATATCACATCAATTAAGGCAATAGTTCTTTCATGTTTTGAGTGTAGCATATTTCTTGATTCAGTACAGTAATACAGGATTTTCTGTAACTTTTAAAATGCTTCAAATATATATAATTTCAACTCACTTTGAAGTATTTCTTTGGCATACGTCTCGAGTTCTAATAATTGTTCCTGCTCTGGAATATTTAATAATAAATAATTTTGAAAATTTTAGTGCATTTATACGTTGATACATCAGAAGATCAATCAGAATAATGATATAAATCAGTTAATCACTCGAACATAACAAAGAACCTAGCACACGTGTACGTCGGTTCAAGTTGCCAAATCCCATTGGCACAACAAGATGAAATTGTCAAGGTAAATCTTAGCATAGAGGTAGTAACAGTGTTCACAGAAAAGATTAGACAACCAAAAGATAATATAGAAATGATTTTGAGCCATATCACTGTCTTTAACCATTGCTTACGACAATCTCATGTGAACCCCTTGCATAAATATATATGTATACAAACCAATAGTAATACGAGTAATTGGAAACTAAAACTGATCTGGTCTTCAAATGAATTTCAAAATGGAAACAAAAGTACAATTTACAGTGAATGTAAAAATATGCTTACATCTAGTTATATGTGCCTAAGTAAACTATAATGATTCATTGAGAATTAACACTTTGTATATAAAAGGTAATCCAATTTACAACCGACAACAGCTTTAAATAGCTTGTTGTACTTTAACACAGAACACTTAATTTACATGTTTAGACCCGACCATTACAGCTACCTTGACGTGGTGTTCGAGCTTGCCTGTCGTCATGGACCGACTGGCTATACTGGCTGGAACAATCGTTCATCAAGGCCCTACCATGTCAGTCAGGCAGGTCGGTTGAAGAGCGGTAAAACCAAAAGCAGCAAACCCAAGGTCCGAGGACGAAATCGTACTGCTGACTGTACAAAAGTGTGACAACAGTAATGTGTTTCCCTCAGAAAACCAGGATAGCAGCGGTGCTGCCCTCTGACGAAGAAAGGGTGGTGTCTGAAAAGGTCGACCCTAACAATGCACATTTCGCCTTATCCAAAGGATATCCGTCTCCAGTGGTAAGGCCTCAACAAGTACGGAGGTGGAATTTGTTAACAATTATACAATTCAAATGTCTTATATTTTCTATCGTTTCTATGAATTCTTAAGATGGTTTAGATAATGTATTATTATTAATAATTGTATAACTGAAATATTATCTATGAAGAGAACTAATGTTTAAAAACCCTTCTGAATACTAAAAGATTCAATGAGTCTCCTCATTATCAATCGATTAGACTATATTTATATGTTTAAGAGCGAAAAGTGAAGAATCTCTGAAGTTGCAGTGAGTTTAACAATGCTAGAAGTGAAGCAGATGTGACAACTGGATGATAATAGCTTGTGTTACATTATGACGAATTGAAATGTGCACAATAAATGTAATCTGACTCAGCAGTATAACCTGTTATGTATTCACCAATATGCATGGCTTAACACAATAGTAAATGTTTTTATGAACTGAGAGCATGTCTAAGTTTAGTTCCTTTTAGCTTTCCTCCAACCCACTTCTACTCCACACATTTATTATTATTATTAACGTGGGTTAAGGTAGGCGATGGTTAGAATTACGTAATATATATCCCAACTACCGCATCACTATACTTATCAAATATCCATATTTTGGAATTAAATGTGAAGTTAAAAAGACGTAGCACCAGGCCATGGAGACATTGACTGTTAAACTGAGCCATTTATGTAAGTACAGACTAATTAGTGAAGGTGAGAGTAATTATCACAACCAATATCTAGAGAATTTCGGTGACATAGCTAATAGCCGTGCCCAATGGAGCAGATCCATTCACTTTTTATCTTCCTTTAAAATCTGAGCCCACAAATCGCATTATGTCTTTCTGTATACTTAATATTATTACTGTTACTACCACCGATACTGTTATTCGTCCTAATACACTGAGATTTGTCATGAAATAGTTTCATCTCCCTGTGTTAATATGATATAGCAGATTAAATCGATGTATGTATCAAGTTCTACGTTTTACATGACTGATGACTGATTAAAGTCAAGAATTATAAAACAGCACTCTTTGAGCTTTCTAACTTAATAACATTAAGTAGTATCATCCAAAGTTTAACTAAAAATAATATTCATGGTGTACATTTATTATTTAAAAAGAAACGATAAATTCAATCAGTATTTACCTTGTCGTTTTTTTTTAGTTCAGATTGTTTTTGACTTATCATTAATTCAAGATAATCATTCAATTGGTTTAAATTATCAATTTCCAACTGTGAACAAAGAAAGATATTTTAAAAAACACTTAGATATGAATCATGAAAAAGCATGAAATAGGCTCTATTAAGCATAGATATATACATTTCAGTTCTATACATCGATCACTGTACGAACTAGCCAATAATGATGTCAGCGTTTGTGAAGTTAAATGATACAAATTCAAATTTCATAAGGAGTATCAATTCCTTCAGGACTGTATGTACTACTCGCTGATAAGTACCGATTAGCACAGAACCTAAGTAGGTTCAGGGTATACCAGCTGCTACCTCTATCACATAACAGAATTATGTGAAAAATAATTCAAAGTACAATCACGTGCGATAGATATTTTTTCTTCCGAAAATTATGTTTTGGGACTTGATTGATGATGAGTGAAATTCCATATTGTCCCTTAGTAGTTTTACTTTACATGTTCAATGCCTGAAGGATATCTATAATCAAAAACCTAAAGTCTACGCATGCTTTTTCCTTTAACGTTTCATAACTATAAAACAAAACACAGAGAAGTTCTGAACAGTACACTCGCTCCTTTGCTCGCAGAAAAACATTTTGTTTTGCCTACATCATAAGTGACGTAAGTTGGCAAAATTCAATCAAAATTTCTGAATCTATAACATGTTGTCAGCCACCAACCTATCATGGGATATGAGACTGTTAAGATAAGTGATCAACCCGCTTAACTACTTCCCAACCTATGATCAATCTAGGTGATGAATATAGACCAGACCCGAAGCAACAATTTGCACTTAGATAGAAAGAAACATATCCTAAACATACTTGTATTGTTGCTTAAGTCGATCAAAAAACTGTTTTATATCAACATCTTCATCATATAGAACAATATCATCTGCACTGTGATAGTCAATAGTTGTCTCTGAGTTTCAGTCAATCCATAACATGAATTAATCTTCAAACTGTTCAACAAAAATAAAATGAATAAACCAAGCATAGAAAAACAACCAAAATGCAACAACAACAACAAAAAAACAAATAAGATTACATTTAATTCTAGATTACGAGCAGATATATTCTCATCGATAATTTGATAAATTTCTTGTTGAGCAAATTTTGAACAAGTATGAAATAATTGTTGTGCACCAGCGATAAATTTTAAATGCTGAAAAACAAACATGAAACTTTGAATGATATTGAATATTTCACATCACATGAAAACATATTGACATATGTGTGTGTATGTGTCAAGATAGTTGGGAGGTTTCAGTCTATTTTTTTTCTTCTGATATAGGCCGAAGTGAATCGGGTAATTTTGATCGATAGTCAAGTAGAGCATATGTCTCCTATCAGCGACATGCTTATTGAAGACAAAGCTTATCATTGTCAGTGTAAACCTTCAGAGTAATATAAACGCTGAATAACCGATAAATAACAGTTGTACAATGCTTAGATAACTAGTTGTTTCATTATCTGGTAATCTTTTAATAAAAATAGATGTTTGTAAATCAGTAATTTACAGAATGAAATCTCAACCTTTCATTTACACAAATCAAAACATCCTATCCACACATCTCTCTAATCTAACTAAACACTTGCATTACGCCAACATAAAACTGTTGGAGTGATCCAGAGAATTGCTTGCAAAGACAAGCAAGCATCAGGAATCACTAAGAAGCGTTTCGTTCAATCAGCGTTCACTTGAAGTTTTTGCCAAAAATATCAAGAAGCGAAACGTCACATGTAGAGGTTTTGATTGGCTGGTTGCTACACTGTTACTATATTTAGTAGCATTCCAGAGTCTTGTAGCAACCCAAGGACATTTAAAATATTATAAAAACCCTGTATTTTCTGTATTAAAATGAACCTTGGAGTAAACTACTTCTCGCATACTTTGCTTTCTCTCGTGTTCAGGTCGCTGTATAGTTCTAGCTTGGGGGTTACAGAATAGCTTAGGAAACGAATATAGCGTTCCATCCGCAAGACTTATCAATAACAAACTGATTAGCTTATTTACTAGGTGCCTACGTATGAGACACATTCTAAGTGTGAGTGCTAATGATACTACCCACTTGCCTAAGCTGAAGTAGGTGGAGCTGGATTCGAGGATGGAAATTTATCGAACATCTTAACCAATAGACTACTGCTCCGCTTAAACAGCAAAATTTTATCCAATAAAAGAACCCCTAGGCAAATGAAATGACTATAATAGTTATGAATAACTTTAGCTAACAATAAAACATATCACTGGAAATATAAGTAAAGTACTATCGATTAGAATGAAATACTCAACAATCAATAACTACTATTACTTCCATCAGGACTGATCAAAGTCTAGCGATATAAAGAAATCAAGTCGGTCAAACATTTAGAAGTTACTTGAGTTTATAACCAGTGATTACAGCATGAAGTTCCGATACTCATAAATAAATCAATACTTGTTGATAGTGACGAAAACAGTGAACTACAAGCTGATTAAATGAAAATTACATTGTGACATAATTTGAATTATTTATGATGGGCCCTCCACTACCACAAAAAATATTACTGTTAAGTTATAAGAGCTGCACATAATACACCCTTTTTTCATGTACAGATTAATAAAAGAGAAAAACTAGTCATTGATTTCAAATAATCTTACCTCTATCAAATTCATTTCAGATACGTTCTTTGTAACTGATTTTAATTGAGGCGAAATCAATACAGTACTGATTCGTTCTAGATATCTAAAATTAATTTTACAATACCTAAGTTTACCAGTTACCTTATTTAATTACACTAATATAAATTTAACACTTAAAGATATAACAAATTATTCAAATGATAAAATATTTAGAGTTAACATCTTGGAAAAGAAGATAAATTACATTTTAAGTAAAATAATGCATGTTTAAATGAAAATGTTTCTTGGCAGATGATTTACAATGAGTGAGTGTGTGTGTGTGTTATTTCAAACAGATATGTGATATTTTCAGTTTAAGTGATAGCTGGTGTAGGAATTAGGTTGAAGAAAAGTTAGTTGTGACCAAACTATGACATGGTATCAGTTCATGAAGACATCAACTGTTGGACTGAGCCGTATTGGTAGGTGCAGACTCCTTCGTTAATGTAAGTTTGATTATCGTGATCAACGGTTAGAGACTTTGTGTGGCATAAATTTCGATGATTCATGATTTTACAAGTTAGTTCAGCTTTTTCCTTCCTTTAAATCCCAAGTTTCGGAATTCTTCGTAACTTTAATGTTTTCCCATTTCACCAATCTCTATTTTTCTTCTAGAATCATATATTTTATTCTTAAACTTTTCTGTTATCACTAATAGGGTTACCACTTATACTACTCTGGTATCTCGCTGAGTTGATTTGGTGTGGTAACTTGAACCGCCGTATGCATGTGACAGGTTTTACGTTATGCATGACTGTTAACTGAGATTTATTTTTATACCCATAATATAAAACAGTTAACTAGAGGAAACAATACACAAAACGAGTGAGAAGTCTGAACTATTAGGACCTCCACAAATGTTTAGAACAATGAAAAGAGATAAGAAAAGGGTATTATCACAAATGGGGGGTTATTCTAAAGGGTATAAGACTTAGATACGTTCAGTTATAAGGTTTCTACGATTTCATCAAGTATATTTATTTGACAAAGTATTCACTATACGCAAAATATGCACCTAATCGACTGCTATGACATCTGCAGTATTTAATTTCACGTAAGATAACAGATGTAGACAAATCACAAAAATAAGCCGTGGAGATTTAACAGTAAGCCGCTTAATATTACATAAATTTGGGTATCAATAGAGACAATAAAAACTAACCATATATACATATAATACCCTAAATCTGGTTCACTTTTAACCCATATAGTCAAGTATTAATTAACTGGAAATTTACACTAATACAATTTTGAAGTGAATGAAGAGAGAGGGGGGTAAAAAGAATATTGCTCAAATAATAATGATCACTTACAAACGTTTCCAGAATTCCAATCGATTTATATTTTCAGTTTCAATAACAAATCGTCGTTTAACTAATTTATCATAGAGATGTAAGTGTAGTTGGTTTTGCAATCGTAAATACTGTTAAGAATCACAGAAGAATAACAAAAACAGTTGAGAAGAAAGAATATGATCATATGAATAAAGTATTTCGAACAAATTTGTCATTATATATATACACTCTTATTTGTGGAGATCTTAGGATGGTTTAAGTTTAAATCAAGGGGCTTTAGTTTCGCACAAAGGCCCTGGGTTCGACCCCCGAATGTGAGTTGTAGATGCTCAGTGCTTAATACCATATTAGGACGAAACAAATATCTGACATGACAGGATAAACAGGATTTTAGCATCAGACACAAGTTAGTTTAGCACATTCAGAAACATAAGAAGGACAAAAACAACACTAACCAGTGCTTCCATGTTTTTAATGATCTGCTAATTTAGATAATTTCATGATCTCAATAGAAATCAACAATCTCCATAACTCCCATACTGATAAATAATTGAAAGTAATCATCCTAAGATAAAAATTTAAATCTATATGCAATAAATGAACTAAACAATAATTACTACTAACTTCATCTGATCCATATCGGTCCATATCAGTCAGCAATGTTGATTTATCCAAAGTTTCCAAGTTACAATCGATGTATTCATTTTTACGCAGGAAATTCACAATACTTTTAATGTTAGAAAAATCATATTTCTAAATTGAGGAAACAACAAGATAGAAATTGATGCAAACATGACCATAAAGTTTCATTCAAACTGTAAAAGTGTACATATCAAACAAAAGTGATCGAACAATGAATGTTTCATGAAAATCAATTTCTATTTCTTGGAAAATGTGCAGTATTTCATTTGGCATCCCTGCATACACATATACACGTAGTTGTAACCACACAGGTATCCATAAACAAGATATTGTAGTGATTTCAATCATACCTTACACAAGAGTGAACTTGGAATAGATGGTAACAAGCCCCTTTCTAAATGACTTGATACTGTTTTGGATAAGCCGATCTTGCTCTTCTTGTGCATACGATCATCCATTTTTGATCTCTTCCACGGAATTCTTAATATTTTTAGATGGAGAGAGCATTTTCACAAAAGAAGGTCCATGTTTGGCGTAACGCTTAAGCCACGATAGTAGGCAGTATTCGCTCACCTAAGGAGTTGGAAAACCTCTGATGTAAGCTGAAGGTGAACAGCCCACAGAATTCTAAGGAAATGAATGTTGTATGAGCTTATATCGATTACCATCAACTATATTATACAATGACATCTAAGCTAGAACATTAGATTAGGAAAAAATGGAATATAAGGATCACATTTAAAATGCAGTGATCCTGAAATATAAGAGAATATGACTTATATGATTTATAGATTAATCGAAAGTTTATTATTTATAAGATAAAACATGGACATAATTAGATGCCAGCAGTTTACAGATTCGGAGCTAGACAAAAAGATGTCAAAAAATAGCTTTGTTTGTTATTGCCATTTCATCCTTCTCTTCATATCAGTATTATGGATGTAAACTGTCTGGACGAAAACCGAAATAACGAAGAGACACTGCATCCCCGCCAGTTATTTCACACTGACCGTCTAGCGCAATAGTCCACAAACGACCGTGAATGGAGATTCAGCAGATCAGCGTCAACTTGGTTCTAACGCTTAGTGACATACTGATCCCAAAAAGACCAGATGCCAATAGCACAGTATAGATTATTATTCCCTTGATCAGTAAGCAATGTGTTCATAATTATATTATTTGCTTCACACTATACAAGAATAAAATACCTTAAATTTTCACGATTCACTAAGCTCGATAGACCGCTAAAAATGGTAGAAAACATGTGTCTCAGGGTGGTGTTCTGGTTTGACAGGCAAATCAAACCTTCTACAACAGAATTCCAAGAAAACTTCTCCCAACTTGTACAATTCGCACTTTATTTGTCCATAATAAAAGGAGTTATTTTCAGCTGTCTGCTATGGACATATTTAGTGTAGTGCAGATTGGCATGGCGGATGAAAAACATGAATATAGTTGAAGTCTAGGCCTGAAACGAAATTTTGAATGGAAATAAACATCCAATAATTAATATACACCCACTGAATTAGCGAATGACCGAAATTGTTGAGTACGATACAGTTAGTGTTCATCAAATGTTGCGGATAACCACAGCCGTGGTAACACAGTGCTAATAGTTCTGCGCTTTGCTTATAATAGCTAACTTTTTGGCTGAATGTGTGAAAATAATGGTAAATATTTATCAAAGAGGTATGGGAACAGTATGACTCACAATATGATCGATGACAGCTTCAAGTTGACATTCAGCTAGTTGATTGCGCAGATGATTATGCAATCGTCTGGTATTTGATAAGAGCCTTTCTGGTTTATACTCATTTACATCTCTGAAAGTTTTCGGTCGAATCACTTTTTTTACAGAAGTTAAATTAGCACCAGTATCATCACCGATATTTGCTTGACGTAGTGGTGTATTAATTAAGCTAACAAATGTAATTCTTTCTGGTTCAGAAGGTTTCGGCGTTTGATCAACATCCGATTGGAGATTATTATTAATGTTACATCGTCTTCTTGTCAATGGTAAGGAATTACTTAGATTCAAATTGATTAAGGGCATTTTAACGACCGATACAGGTCGTTTATCCGATAATAATGGATCTTCTACTATATCTGTCATCATCATCGTATTTGTAGACTGTAAAAAATGAGGTGACCTGAACGACGGTGTAAGGACTTTTTCATGATTTACATCCTCGTTATTTTTAATTGTTGAAGTAATGTCTGGTACGTCATTATGACATGAAGGCTGAGAGTATATTTTATGAGGTAAACTATCACCAGGTAATTTTTATCAATGTTCCCATCATTATTGGTAGAAAGATTCAATCCATTAGTGGAGATAATAGACATATTACACAATTCTTCATTGATTGGTAATGGTAATGGACATATGCTGCTTTGTACCTCCATATCTGAAACATCATGATGATGTCTGGGTGTACAACTTGATTCATTTTTTACAATCATCATTTCATCTAGACTAGAAATAGTAACTGATTCCAAGGAACTACATTTAGAGGATAACGTCCGACTATCAGCATCGTTATCTACTTCCATATTCGTGTTTTGTTGTTCATTGAACGATTCGTGTTTAACTTTTAAACAAGAATCAGGTGATAATTCCATAGAAACATCACTTATCGATGTGACACTTTCCATATTATCGTTAATATTGCTACTGTTGTCATTGTTGTCATTTTTATAGTCATTATTATTATCATTGTTATTGATATCATTATTAGTATTAGCAAATTCATCTTCAACAGATATATTTGAGTTGAAACGACTGGAAATACAAAAAGACTTAATTAAATAAAAACGATTAAGATAAGACTTCGAAATACGTTCAAGAATTAGTTGACCTTCATTTTTAGAATAGCAAAAGCTAGTGAGTAACCATAAATAAGGAAATTGTAATCAATGTAAGGGGTGATCAGTAGATATTGTAAAACTATAGGAAATGAACCAAATGAGATTTGTGCAGCACATTTTTAATTACCTCCTTAACTATTGTAACTTCAGGTGCAACTGGATAGATAGTGTTGTGTACGTGAATGGACTTATACATTGCATCAATTCACAAAACTTCCGATTACTGCGACGAAACCATTAAATTATCTTAGTTTGTTTATACATTAATACCAATAAAGATTTTAAAAGTAGTAGGTAGAAATTTATCAAATGGTGCACGTCATCTGCCTTGTCGTTGAAATTTAAATGTTCCAAATACGTTTAATTTCTACTACATAACTTATTTTTCTATTGTTGAGACATTTTTTTCTATTAGCTCAGCCGATGTCCTGTTTAGAAATGTGGGTAGTAGGAACGTAATATCACTATGCAGATTAATTGCTCAAGTTTTGTATGATATATCAGTATGAAAAGGCGTTCTAAAGCATGGGTCGCATTGGTTATGTCTAGAAGAGATTTTCTGACAGTTACGAATTGCTAGTCAATGTGAGCAGTTTAAAAATATTAAACATTCACATATACCCTATTATACACTCTTCTGAAACCGATCAACCTGTTTTTTGCATATTTGATCAAAATTTCTTCCGCTTTTCAAAATATTCATTACTCTAATGCTATATTTTACAGCTCTCACTAGCTATTACATTTCAGGTTCATTCACATGAATAGGGATTTCACATGGGATTCAACAAACAACTAGAACAATGCCAAACTCGCCGACACTCAAACTTTAAAAATACAGTGGACATTTGCAAATAAGCTGTTAGCGGGACATAGACTAGATTAAAGCATGCTCAATGCATGATTGCTTTGCTGCACGCTGATTGGCTGATTCTTATCCAATCAGCAACAGTCGATAGTCGGAGAATATTCTGGAATCTTCTTATGTAAAAAACTATAAATATACTGACGTTTTTCCCTATTATGCTTCTGACTTGCTATTTGGAATATAATCTTATTCCTGTTCAACCGTGTTTTGATTTGGGGACTTGTCGAGTGAATCGGTGTCCGAGAATACTAAGCAATAGGAATAGCTGGGTCATAACCGTAAGAAGACAAGAGTTATAACAGTGGCGACGGGGAAAAAGGAAAACAAATTCAAGATGCCTATATCAGATGACCAGCTTAACCGAATACTACAACAACAGCAAGCACAACTTGATGCACAAATGCGGTTGTTGGAGACTCTGACTCAACAGCTCAACATCCACAGCTCGAGTTCACACGCTATTTCAAGTTCGTCTTGTGATGCAGTTGCTAGCAGCATCCCAGAATTCATCTATGATCCCGAAAGTGGAAATACTTTTCTCACGTGGTTCAGACGTTGGGAAGATACATTTAGAACAGAATTCTGTAACCAAGACGATGCGTGGAAGACCCGATTGTTGGTACGTAAGTTGGGAAGCAACGAACATGCACGTTTTGCTGACCATATATTGCCAAAGTTACCTCGAGAGCTCAGTTTCGAGGAGACGGTATTTCAGTTGTCAGAGATATTCGGCGAGTCATCCTCGTTGTTTAGTATTCGATATCGGTGTCTAAATTTGGTGAAACGCGAAGCTGATGAATATGGTGTTCTAGCAGACATTGTCAACAGAGAATGTGAACGTTTCAAGTTACGCTCGTTGACTGATGACCAATTTAAATGCTTAATATTCATCAAAGCTCTTCAGTCACCACAAGATGCTGAGATCAGGACTAGACTTTTGGCTCGACTGGATCAAGACCCAAACGTCACACTCAGAACATTGACAGATGAGTGTAAGCGTCTACAAAGCATCAGACACGACAACGAGTTGATTGAACAGGTAAATCCTAATTTAACCTGCGGTAGTGTAAATACTATTACTAGGTTAAAAGTTCAGAAGCCGGTAACAACTCGTAACAAACCAAGGACTGCATGCTGGTTATGCGGTGATTGGCATTATGCACGATTCTGTCCGTTCAAGAAGCATAAATGTCAGGCGTGCAACAAACGTGGACATAAAGAAGGTCATTGTCCACCGAAGCGTACGTCTCAGCCTAAGAAGAAGCATAAACGTCCTCGACATGTGAAATCAGCCGAGTCTAAATCTCTTTCTCTGGTAGCTGCCTTTCAAACAAACTATGACATTCGGAGAAAGTATGTTACCATCCAGATAAACGGCATATCAGCTCGTCTTCAAATTGACACGGCATCAGATATCACGTTAGTGTCTAGAGAAACGTATAACTTGCTGGGTAAACCGCCAATGAAGCCATCTAAGAAAACGGCTAAAAACGCATCAGGTGGTGTGCTAAAACTGGTTGGTGAATTACAGTGTGAATTTTCCTTCAATGGAACTAACTGTACAGGAATATGTTACCTAACAGAACGGCCGAACCTTGATCTTCTTGGTCTAGATATGTTAGACAAACTTGGAATAATGGATATACCAATTAACAGTGTCTGTAACGTATCGTGTTCATCATTGGACACCCCATTACTTCCAAAGAAGACAGGTGAAAGGTTACTAGAAAAACTGAAAAGAAAGTTTGCCTCTGTTTTTCAGAATAGCCTTGGCCACTGTACCAAGATGAAAGCGCACTTACCAGTGAAACCAGATGCCATACCTATTTTTCGCCCGAGACGTCCTGTACCATATGCTGCTCTTGAGCTAGTCGACCAGGAACTTAATCGCTTGCAGCAGGCTGGTGTAATCCGACCAGTTAACTACTCTGCATGGGCCGCACCGATCGTAGTGATTAAGAAGGCCAATGGGACTATACGCATATGTGCCGATTTCTCGACCGGTTTAAATGCTGCATTAGATGTATATCAATATCCCTTACCAGTTCCTGAAGACCTGTTTGCCAAGCTTAATGGTGGGACATGTTTCGCGAAAATAGACTTCTCCGACTATCGACTGTTGCTGATTGGATAAGAATCAGCCAATCAGCGTGCAGCAAAGCAATCATGCATTGAGCATGCTTTAATCTAGTCTATGTCCCGCTAACACCTCCCCTCTGAGCAGATTCGTAGGATCTGGTGCTAGGGTCCAACTGCAACCGAGTGACTGGCCTGTGCTTTCGATTAGTCCATCGTCTAGGCAATAAAGAAGTATCACTCTTTTCTTGCACAGAAACTGATGTGTCATAATTCCCAAGAAGCTACAACCAGCAGTGCTTGAACAATTGCATGCAGGACATCCTGGAATAAATCGCATGAAAGCACTAGCACGAAGTTATGTATACTGGCCGCATTTAGACACCCAACTGGAGAAGCTATCCCGTTCGTGTACCAAATGTGCATTAGCAACAAAAGCACCGCGAAAAGCAGAGCTGCAATCATGGCCAATACCACAGTCACCGTGGCAGCGTATACATTTGGACTTTGCTGGTCCACTTCATGGACAAACTTACCTTTTGGTGGTTGATGCATATAGCAAGTGGCCAGAAATTTTTCTCATGGAACACCCGACTGCAAGCTGCACAGTCAGTAAACTACGTCAACTATTCAGTCGTTTTGGAATCCAGGAATTGATAGTTAGTGACAACGGAACACAGTTTACGTCCGAAATCTTCTCACAATTTTGTCGGCAGAACGGAATCCAGCACATCCGAACACCTCCATACCATCCCCAATCAAATGGCCAAGTGGAACGCTTTGTGAGTACATTTAAAAATGCTCTAAAAAAATCCAAAGGGGAAGGGACCACTGAAGATATCTTAGAGAGGTTCCTGTTTATTTATCGTTCTACACCGAACCCTCAGACAATTAACGGGCTCTCTCCAGCAGAAGCTCTACTTGGCAGAAAGATACGTACACATTTCGATGTCATCCGTCCTACGCCAGCTATTGAACCCCAACGAAACCTATCGATGGAGAAACAGTTTAACCGACATCAGGGGGCACAAAGACGATTGTTCACTGTGGGACAAAAAGTGCTTGCCATGGACTATCGTGGGAAACATCCTATATGGACAGCTGGTCGGATTTTGAAAAAGAAGGGGAGTGTGGTTTACGAGGTGTCAGTTGGCTCGGAAGTTTGGGTACGTCATGCTAACCAATTGAAAGCAACCTCGATAGCCAGCAACAAGATTCAATATCGATTACCTCTTGATGTTCTGCTAGACACCTTTGAAATCAAAACGCCGGGAATAGACACATCAGTTTCTGTGCAAGAAAAGAGTGATACTTCTTTATTGCCTAGACGATGGACTAATCGAAAGCACAGGCCAGTCACTCGGTTGCAGTTGGACCCTAGCACCAGATCCTACGAATCTGCTCAGAGGGGAGGTGTTAGCGGGACATAGACTAGATTAAAGCATGCTCAATGCATGATTGCTTTGCTGCACGCTGATTGGCTGATTCTTATCCAATCAGCAACAGTCGATAGTCGGAGAATATTCTGGAATCTTCTTATGTAAAAAACTATAAATATACTGACGTTTTTCCCTATTATGCTTCTGACTTTGCTATTTGGAATATAATCTTATTCCTGTTCAACCGTGTTTTGATTTGGGGACTTGTCGAGTGAATCGGTGTCCGAGAATACTAAGCAATAGGAATAGCTGGGTCATTAACCGTAAGAAGACAAGAGTTATAACATAAGCATACAAAACAAAATAATAATAAACGATATAAGTCTTGTGTAATTAACTTACCTAACACACATTTGAGAACCATCATCCTCGTCACCCAAAACAAAAACATATTGAGAGAATGAAACGCGTCTATTTAAACCCCTAGATGATACAACACCATCCTAATGAGAAAAAGGACATTGTATTGAAGTTATAATTTTTAAAAACTGACTTACAGATGCATCATTCACTGGATCGAATGTAAACTTTAATGACTGCAAAGAAACATATCACTCAAAACGTATGTTACGCCTACCGATCTCCGAGGTTTTCTATCACCATTAGAATTAATCATCATTTATTGTTATTATTAAGTCAACCGAGAATCCGCAGAAAAACTGAGGAAAGATATATCTAGCAGTGGATGTCAGCCACGATCAGTAGTCAGCAGATTAAAGTGCACTAACAAGATACCGAGAAATTATCTACCTAAATATAAAGTTAAATCAAAAGACAATAATAATATGTTGAGATATGAGATAGTGACACATATAAATCTCAAGAACAGCCAGCAATTTCGAATGAAATGAATTCTTGATTAAGATTCAACCACTATGAAGCCTATATGACTAATGTGTGCTTTTGTGAAGAGAATCTTATTAAGGAGGGAATGTTCCATTTGCAATCGATTAAAATCCTGACGGTCTGTAATCAGTCTGTCACTATTGCTTTTTATAACCTAGTATTCCTGGACACTTAACGGATTTTAAAATCAAAACACAATTTGGCGAAAACGTGAACATATTTCAGAGCAAAAAGCAGTTAACCAGTCATATTTAAGTCTAAATTATCATAATTCATGAACACAGTAGTTATCAATGGACATAAATCACAGTGCATTATATATTTAATGAAGATACCCCAAAATGTCCTGGTAGTGGCTAAAGACGTTATCAGATATGGCTCAGAATAGAAGCCAGTGGCGATCCTGCTGTAACCTTCTTTTACATTCTTCATAAAAGTAGTTGTGTCTCCCTTACATGAAAGATTTCTTCTGATTGTACCTTTCCGTTCCCTCATTTCTACCATACTACCTTACACCAATCTCCTCGTTATTGTTCTCTTTTTTTTGCGCCCCTTAGCTTTTTTTTTCTATTTCTATTCGAATTCTCATTCTTTTGTGTGGCGCATATATATTGGCGCTCTCTTGTACCAATATTCATGTGTTCAAATAAATAAATAAATAAAATGTCCTGGTACGGCCGAGAGTGGGAAGAGTCCGTTCTCCCTCTCCAAATGCTCTTACATGGCCACGCGTATATAGCTTCTGCCAGGGAAGTCCTACTCACTGCATTCTCGCACCACAGGTGTTGTTTACGAAATTGAAAGGACGAAAAGCGAATGTCCGGTGCTTCAACCGGGTTGGTGGACACGGAGAGTCCACCTAGGAGAGTTGGAAAATCATCATTTCAAACCAATGGTGCACATGGGCTCCAGTATCCTGCGGGAACAAATGGCGTATGAACCAATCGTTGGTCACAGGCTACCATGAGATCGCATCTCCTTACGATGCTCCAATGCCTTGTGGATCAGACCTTCAGGTCAAAGGCTCCGGGTGTGCCATCCCCCCCTGAGAAAACCACCTGGCTCGGTTTGGGCACCCGGGCAGTATCATAGCCCTCATACATATCAAATGAGATCTATGTGGCGCATATGTATTTGGTGCCTCCTTGTACCAGTATCTATGTGTTAAAATAAGTAAAATAAAAAATTAATGAAGATGCATCGAAAATAAAATAACGGACTCCATATTGTACAAAGCGATACATGTGAGAAGACAACGAAAGTGAATAAAGCTCATTTTAAATCAACTAGTGATTTCTAAATTTGATTTCTTCATAAGTGTGGTATTCAAAGATTTCACATCCATAGGAGACAGAAGGTAAAACGGCGGTATCACACTTTGCTATATAACAGACACATTCGCGAACATCAATTACAAAATGTTGACTACATAATAGCAAGTGATTAAACTGTCTAAATATACTATCAAACAATTCCTTCGTAAATAAAAATAGAACCATATCATCTTATTAGCTTTAAATCACGAAGCACAGATTGTGCACTTACTAAATTCTCAACTTTGCCGATTTATTTTTACCGTAAGAGTCGCCAAATGATTTTTATAACAAATGTACTGAAATATCACTTCATAAGGCCAGTCTCTTGACCAGCCATCAAACCCCTACAAATCCCGAAATTCGAAGACAGGCCCAACCCATAAACGCCCAAGAAGGCTTTAGTGTCACTGTCATTGAAGGTATGTAAATTTAACTCAGGATGACATGTTTGAAACCCACTACAACCAAATTCATGTGATTAACCGGATAACACGACTATAGATGAAACTGCTAATTGTGAAATAGTTAAATACAACAGGATAGTTTGGTACATTTTGCTCATGACTAGTAAACATAACGATTGCTACTTCCAACCCCATATTTATAAACATATAACGACATGAAAGCTCGTTCTGAAGGCATTATTATTTTACAATAATGTTTTTTTTCATGTGAATACGAGCATATAACTATGAAATTAAGGCAATGAATGTTCCAGTCTATTTATCGAAGACAAGAGCCAGACAGCATAACGAAATAAACAACTCATTGTCCGGCATTGTCTGAGTCACTGATTGAAAGCGACTCATCAAGCAACTGCTAACGAATAATCCAATTAACCAGTACTAAACAATATCATTTTAGTGAATATTCGGTAAAATTTGAAAAATGAAAACAAACATCCATATTACCAACATGTGCATACACGCCAAGAACCAAAATAATTTCTAACATTTTCGGAAAAAAATCGAATTGCCTTCATACTAATAATTAGTAAATTGAGGTTGACACTACATTATTTTCAACAAAAACTTTAGTGGACAGCTGATTAAAACAAAAAATGGCATCTTTAACACCACTAAGTTTCCATTTTCACATCCGATATTTAAACAGCAAGCTTACCTCAAACAGTACCTAGAGAACTAAATATATATGACGATGAGAACCTCTAGCTCCTAAAAGCTAAACAATACGACACTAAACGACCGAAGACGCGCCAAACTCGGACCGCCCGCGAGTGATGTAACATACAAACACCGATATAACAAAAGCATGAAAATCCAAGCTTTAGAAAAATGAAAAGATCTTCGGCAAAAATTATTTTTTTAAATCGCAAGGCCAATGTATATTTTTGTGTACAGTCAAAGAACGTATGTTAAGGGTTTTAAGCTTGCTTGAATGGAGTTCTTCAGACGTTATTTAAATACAGATGGAGCTATATTACACTTGCAGAGCACTCTGTTATGTACATACGATATTTTGTGTAGAAAAATATCGGCTGTTTAATGGCTAAAATAATCATGATAGACAATTGTTTCAAATGAGGTTTTCATTTCATGTCTTATAGTAAGTGAAAGTACAGAGTATTCATACCATTTACATTTTACTTCTACAACTGAATTATGCTACACTTCTATGAATATATTATGTATTGCTTTCGAAGTCATGGGATACAAGCTGTGCACAGAGAACTCTTTACGTTACTTTTGTTTACCTTCAAGGTATTTTAGGAATTTTTGAGTTTGTATATTACTCATATAATCTCAAACGAAGTATCTATCATTGCATTGATGTCATTTGATCGTTTCTAAGTCAAGCATGATTGATTTGGTCATAGCCCGGTTTGCTGGACAAATGATATTGGCACGCAGATTTCTTGCACGATATGAGACGCTTAGACTGTCGTTAAAAGAGCTACCATGTAGCTACAGAAGAATATACACGGACAATCAAACAAGTTCAATGAACGTAATAAAAACGCATTATGTGTTTTCTGAGCTTTAATCGTGTCAAATACTCTCTTTTTAGTTACGTTGGAATGCCATTCATGGAATCTGAAAGCTCGATTCTTACAACTCACAAAAATCTAATCGAAAACTATATTGTTCGCTTATGTCTATGTTGTTCTAAATGTGAAATGATCTACAAATTATTCATAGATAATAAACCTGTATGGAGCGCTCTCACAACGCTTATAATAAATTAACATACTTTGGTGATGAATAACATCTAAATTTTGTTCGTTTTGATGCACAACATGGTGGGAGCGTTTTTTATAAAAAATTTGAGGTGGAATTTCAGTACTGTGAATTATTTGATGTACATTTTCACGAGTCAAACGGCTATTCACACAGTCAACGGCTCACGTTCTGCCAAGTAAGAACCGCACTACTAAAAAATCACAACTAGTGATAGCTGATAATAATTGTTTGTGTTTAGGGGAGGAATTAGGAAGGAGACCATGAACCACCTAAGTTGGGTGGTTAAGAATTAACCGAAACGTCCCGAAAATTTCAAAAGATTATGTCTCAAAGATTAATTTAACTTATTGTTTTGTGTAAGCAATATATTTCCCATTATTTCGTGTTGAATATTGAAGGTTTTGTGTGTTTGAATTTGGAACTCCTTTCTACGAATGGTCCGTTCCATCACCAGTCTAGCCTTTTACATATATACAATGAGGAGTAATTATAAGAATCAAAGACCTACTATCGTTTGCTTAACAAGCAATTGGAATTAATCTGCTGAGATAATGAACGAGGTTCATGTTTCATATCTATAAGCTTAAAAATGTGTACGTGTTTCATTAAGGTAGACTGATAGAAAAACATCTGTCTAGTTTAGTGACATACTCATCATGCAAGAATAAGGATTTTATTCCAACTATGTGTTTTCATTACATCAAATCCTATGTAGATACACTCTTTGCTCAACTGTCTCAGATCATTTTTGAATGATCGTTACTGAATTATCGAAAACAACTCAAAGACATCAGCACCTAAGAGAGAGTGATTAGTGGTTTAAACAAGGGAGCGTTTTAGGGCATCTTATTCACAAGGTACTAAAGAGACTTTGTAGCTGCTTCAACATGAGGAAGATTTTCTGCTGGTGAACTAAAGGTAATCTACTCATGCCGCAGATATGATGTAAATAACACCAATAAGTTTATGCAGCAGGAATCATACTGGATGGTAGCATGATATAGAAAGTACCAGCTTCAGTTTGATATTAACGACGCGTCTGTATCCGTGTTGGAAGCAGGGTATTAGTACTCCATTTCGAAGTTGATGGTTTGACAATATCCGAATCTGATACTATTTTAAGCCCTAGTTCATGGTACTCAAATAACTTAAAGTTTTCAGAACAAATAACATCAATCAGCTCGTATGTAATCCGTACTTTCGTCAAAATTGGACCCAGTTTAATACTATATAAGGTCTGTGTCATCCAGTGCTTG